ATCAGAATATTCAGAGGATGAATTTTAATATACCTACTTTTTTATTTTCTTTATTGTACATTTATACAACACTACATTTACTCACCATAATTTGAATTTTCAAAATTATATATTTTTGTGTGGAATAAAAGTCTATTCATTAAATTTAAATAAATATTTTGATAATAATATTGAATAATTTTATTTGAATTACTAAAAACCCTCTTAACCCGGTTATGATGCTTAAAGTAGCCTCATGTTTTGAAATGCTGTTTTTATATTGTTTACTTATACCTAAGAGAAATGGACCGAGAAATTGAAGCGGCATAGACTAAGACGGATTGTCGGGGATTAAATTTTAGCTATCTGCTACAATTTAGTACAGTCCGATCGCACAAAGTTTTTTTAAAAGTACACCTCATCTATACGGAAAATACATAATATAAAAATATTGAATATAGGCACCAGTACTACATTTATTTACGATTTGCATACATAATAAGCTTTTATTACTCTCTTTCATTTCTAAACAGACTATAGCTATGGAAGCGACAAACCGTTATCTATAATTGAAGTGCTTGATTATAGTGATGTGTATTTTTTATTTTTATATGATTGCCTTTTTTCAATTTGTGATTTTTGTTTAGGCAAAAATAATTTCATAAATGTAACCCTTGCTTGCTTTTGTCGTTTTGTAGCAAGGGTTTTTAATATTTACTCAATCCTTTAATTTTTCCACAAGTGGCAAAATACCCATATAAACAAAATCTTAATCTCACATCACAGAAAATATTCGTGTCGTTTTGAGTATTTGTCTTTTTTCGCAAACGGTTTGAACTGAATCATTATGAAAACAGAGGTGAAAACTTTTAATTAGTGGATAGTAACATTAAATCAAATCGATTTATTTTAAAAATTATCAATGTTTTATATTTAAAAATACTTTTTCCCTAATACAATTTATACAGTTTGTCCATGAATAGAGTTCGGAAGATGAAAAACTTCTTTATGTGTAGAACAAAAAGTATTTTTTTATAAAAACGTCTACTTATCTTGAAACTACAATTTTGAATACTGAACATTTTTAATTACTTCCATTTTGATTTTTTTTTCGATTTTTTGAAATATCTAAACCGTGATTTATTACACGAATTGTGCAAAAAAAGTCTAATAAATATTTTTCCCAAAGTAGGTAAATTCGTACCTAATTACTTATAACTTCTTATATCTTTATTTTTATTTTCAAATAAACTAGCTACCTAGTTTTAATCATTCAGTAAAAAAAACGGTCCAAATCAGTGACCATCTAGGAGCCTCGCTTACATTTATGGACTTTTATTTTTGGGGATAATTAAAGCCAAATGTGTATAAAATTAATTTCAATAATAACTTAAGATCTCTTAAAAGATAAAATTAGAGAAGTTATTGAAGATATCCCAATAGAGCAAATAAGGAAATGTCAATCGGAATTTAGATATTGAGTTGAACTATTCGCTGAACTTAGTGGTGCCATATTTAAATACAACTGTTTATTTTAATATTTTATAATTTATGATTGATTGAAAATAAAAATTTTGAAGTTTGTTCGTTTATGTTGTTTGTTTATGTTTTGCTTTGATTTAATCGAAGTAATTAAAACTGTTATTTTTGATGTACCCTGTAGGTATAGCAATCTCAAATCTGGTATTCAGAACTGTAATTTCAAGACAACCAGACGTTTTTATAAAGAATGTTTTTTTGTTCTAAACATACACAAAGCTTTCTCTCTTCCGAACCTATCCGTGGACACACTGTATATTTAAAGATAATGTTAAATAATTAAGTTTTACTATTTGAATGTTTTACGTATATGAAAAAACCTGTTTCGCATTCTTCTCGGAAATTTTGGGGTTATCTTAAAAAGTGACTTCTATAAAAGTTGTAGATTTTTGCATGATCTACAACTTTTGTATTGGATACTTTTTTGTTTGACGTCAAATTTCGCCAGAAATCCCAATGATAAAATTTTTTCACAAATTTTTAACCCCCCAAATCAATCCTCCGCCGCCCCTGCTCACGCGTTTATTTTTTTTACGTTTATTATAAGCCCCTTTACCATTTGCATTTATAAAAATCCATTGAACAATTAAACATAGGGTGTCTGAAGGATCTGTACAACGCTCCACCAGGCTCAAAATAAACCGATCTAACTAAACTTGCCTTAATCGAAAAATGGTAATACCGGAGCTACAGGGTGTCAAAAAATTAAATAATATTTCTTTAATATCGACTATTTCGAGTTAATTTCGTGAAATTTTGTATCCTGGGTTTTTTTGGAATGAGAAATTCGAATTTATCGACGATTTCATTGTATCTTCTATAGAGAGCGCCACAAGCGACCGATGGGACGCATTTAAACTGCCAAAACTTTTTTGTCCTGCAGTGTATTTCACTTTGAGCTAGCAAAATTTCCCCCCCCCCCAACTTTTCTGCTTAAAAAAGGCATACCTTCTAATGTCTCTAAAGCCAACCGTTTTCAATAAAAAAGACATTTAAATTTGTAAATGCATACAAAAATTTGTTTAAAAGTTATTTTCAACTCCGTTGAAAAACATATCTTCTAAGACCGGCCAATAATTACCGTTATTTTTTAGATTTTTAGATCGTTTAGATTGGTTACATTGTTTAGATTGTCTTCGAATAGATTGTTTTTAGAAAATATGTTTTTACTTCGACAATTCTGTTTTCAGTAAAATTGTTAAATAAACAAAATTTAAAATAGTAATTGCACTGTTTCCTTTGAAGGCATATTTCTTCTTATTAAACGATTGCTCCTAATTTCGTTTATCAGTTGAGTTGAAACAACAGGAATACAAGATATTTCTATTGAAAGATTACATTATTTAATAAATCCAATATTTCGGGCATGTTTATCAGTTAAAAATATTTGGAAACATAGGTACTTTTTAATTTTTATTCCAGGTATTTAATTCTTAATTATACTAGAATTCTTTTGCATATGTACCTAGATTTCTAGTGTCGAAGAACATTGGCTTCAATTACTTAATACAATTTTTAGGCACATTTTACTAAATTATTTGAATTAGCCTTTGACATAATGTAAAAACGTTTTTCACTTCGCGGAAAATTTTTATTTTCCTCAAGAATAATAGGCCAGGAAAATAAGCTGGGAAAAACCATTTTGCGACTTTTTGTTTCGGCAAGCTGAATTTATCACTATAGATTCTAAATATTATGTACAATAACATATTAGTTTCCACAGTCATAAAAATGGGGGGTAGATTGTTTACACGGTGGTTAATTGTATAATTTTTACGTAAATTCACGTTTTTCGCTTATAACTTTTTCCGTTCATTTCCACGAGAAAACAGTAAAGTGCTCTTTTTTTTGTCTTCAAAAGACGTACAAAACTAGCCCTCGAGCGTCAAAAAATATTTATTCGATCAAAAGTTATAAACAGAAGAAGTGTATTTATGACTTTTGAATTGAACATTTATAAACTGCGTTATTAATACCCTGAACGTTTTGGCATCGCATCCTCTCATTCCTTATCACTGTCTAATAACTCACACGAAATCTGGAATCGGTAAGTTGAATAGTTTACAAGTTATGGCCTTATAAACAAATTAACTAATTATTAGTCTGGACGATCCCGAGGATCTTCCACAATCGCACTGATTTTTTTCATGGTAGATTTCATAATAATACATTGAAATCTATATTTTTTTTTTAATTTCAAATTTGCAACCTGGAATTTTTTTTATTTTTTAGCCTTAGTTGCAAAATGAAATATACGACGCACGAGCGTGATATAGTTATATATTATTACATATTCGGAAAGCTTATGAAAAGAGCTTTAAGTTAAAAAAAAATCGTCAAGATTCGTTGAAAAACAACGGAGTTACAGACTGTCAAAGTTGACGGCCTATTGTTAAACAAATTAGGTTGGTAGCGGCAAAAAAAATACTGTCATAACCGGCAACCCGAGTACTTTCCCAGATAAAAATATTTTATTTGTGGAAGTATGTTAAGTGCATAAGAAATATTGTCAAAAGTCAGTGGGTCGCTTGATTTTCGGCGAGCCGTGGCGCGGCGGAAGGGTGGGGGAAGCGAACGACAGCGAGTCCGAAGAAAATGACGATAATATTCATAGTCCTGCCGTTAAATAAGCGAAATTCGCTTGAAAATAATATATTTGACAGTCTGTAACTCCGTTGTTTTTCAACGAATCTTGACGATTTTTTTTTAACTTAAAGCTCTTTTCATAAGCTTTCCGAATATGTAATAATATATAACTATATCATGCTCGTGCGTCGTGTATTTTATTTTACGAGTACAACTAAGGCTAAAAAATAAAAAAATTCCAGGTTGCAAATTTGAAATTGAAAAAGAAATGATAGATTTCAATGTATTATTATAAAATCTACCATGAAAAAAATCGGTGCGATTGTGGAAGATCCTCGGGATCATCCAGACTAATAATTAGTAAATTTGTTTATAAGGCCATAACTTGTAAACTATTCAACTTACCGATTCCAGATTTCGTGTGAGTTATTAGACAGTGATAAGGAATGAGAGGATGCGATGGCAAAACGTTCTGGTGATAATAACGCAGTTTATAAATGTTTAATTCAAAAGTCATAAATAAACTTCTTCTGTTTATAACTTTTGATCTAATCAACATTTTTTGACGCTCGAGGGCTAGTTTTGTAGGTCTTTTGAAGACGAAAAAAAGTACTTTATTGCTTTCTCGTGGAAATGAATGGAAAAAAGTTATAAGCGAAAAACGTGAATTTACGTAAAAATTATACAATTTAACCAGCCTGTAAACAATCTCGCCCCCCATTTTTATGACTGTGGAAACTAATATGTTATTGTACATAATACTTAACATCTATAGTGATAAATTCAGCTTGCCCAAGCAAAAAATCGCGTGCAACTCTATATTTCCTGGCCTAATAAGCTGGATTTAGTATTAACCAAGCCGGATTGACGGAACCAAAAGAGAAAAACCCACTCACTGGCGACAAGATGTGCGCGGGGTGCAGTCCGGACCTCCCGGCAAAATTCAGAGCCTCCGGCAGTTCGTTCATGTCGCACCACCCGCTCCGGCGACTAATCCAAGGGAAGAATAAGCGATCCAGAATATCCAAGCACAACAACGATCCAAGACAAGTCACGGACACATTTCACTGGCATGCAACGAGTAACCATCCGCCGCACCTCTTCCAAACAAACACTGGTCGGGGTTGGGAGAGACGTGCTACGTCTAAATCGCGGTATACACGAAACGGGTCGCGTACATCGAGCTCGAAGTTTTGTTTTATTTTGCTCGAAAGCGTGTTGCTGACAAGCCGACGATCGCGGAGTAGCGCCTCGGAAACGTGCTCTATGCAAATACTGCGGGGGCCCACGTGACGGCTCCCGCGGGTGGGGGACGAGCTTCGGGTCGTGGGCTTACCGTGAGAGTCCTCAACCCGCCGTGGCGCCGCCTTAGATCGAGGTATTGGAGAAGGCGCCGGGGATGTGTCCTTTTGCAGGGCCAGTTGGCTGTGGAACAAATGCCGTCGAGGTCGAGGTATCCTGATTTCAATGCGTTGAATTAACCTCAAAAACGAAATAATTACCCTGTAAAAAGTTAAGGTATAATTTATAAGTAAAATTTCCGTATTGTATGAATTTTTTACGTAAATTAGGAAAAAACAAGTTTTAATTGTAAATTTATAGATTTAAATGAATATATTTGAAAATTTTCAGCTCAGCATTCCATTTTATTTAATTTGTTTATTTACATTTTTGTGTACATGCCTAAAAAAAGAGGAAAAACAGTCAAATTATATGAAAAATAAAACTAGGACAATTAAAATAAACATTAATAAAACATGAAATTAAAAAGTTTTTGAAATAAAGTATCAGGAACATATTTTTTTACAAATTGGATAAATACGGCACTGAAAAATCATGAATTACTATTAAAATACCCTGCAAAAGTATAAAAAGCGTGCTTTAACAAATAGTCGACTTATAATTTGTTTTTTAAAACGTACTAATGCAACCACAATTGGAATTAATTCCGTAAAAATTGCTTTTGTATGACTGCGACACGTAATTTTAGTCATCAATTTTTTTTGGCATTGTGAGCGAGGAGAATTATAAAAAATTCGCGTGTTTTGAAAATATTAATATATTTTTATATTTCACTAAATATTAAGTAATATTGATATTAAATAAGAAAAGTAAATTAGAATTTAGATATAAACATACTACTGTCAGTAGTAAAAAAAAAGCTTTGTTGTCAAAATTATTGGAAAAGTCGTTAATATAAATAAGGGAAAGTAGAGGACTCAGGACTGAACCTTGTGAAACTCCAGTCTTCCATTTTCTATAATGGATTTAAGACAATTATAAATAACATATTGAAATCTGTTAACAAATAAGATTATTAAAGATATACACTCTCTGCTGAGATACTATACAGGGTGATTCACAACTTATCCAAAAAAAATTGGGAATAGATACGTCGTGAAAAAAGGAGTCAATATCGTAAAAATTTTTTTTGTAAAAACCTTATAGTCTCCGAGAAAAAAATTATTAAAATTGTAGTATTTTCAACCCTTACACCGCTGGGCTAGTTTCTAGCGTCATCATAGTGCGCTGTGCGCTATGCGCTCTCTCTCTCTCCACATGACTCCAGGCGATGCCGAATACTGAAATCCGATTTTAGTATTAACTTTTTTGCGATAGTGTTTACATTAGTTTTTCAAGTGTTAAAAATGGCTGACATGTACAGCAACTCGGAGTTAATGAATATCGTTTTAATTTATGGTGAAGCAGGACAACATTTGTGCATGCTGAAGTAAGACAATATTTGTGTTAGTTCGTAGAAACTAAATAAGTCGGTCCGAAATGTGTTTACACGTCGGTGGACAACATTTTGAATAGTTGTTGTAACATCAGGTATGTCAATTTATTTTGTTAATTAAAACCACAAATTAATTTTATTATTAATAATAACAGTAACGGCAAAAGCAGTTGAATTTGCTGATATAAAATAGGTGTTATATAATTTTATTTATTTCTTTCCTCAGGAAAGAAATTCTTTCAATTTTTCTCCGTTCATTTTTCTTTGCCGCCGTGCTAGTCGCTGACTGCATGTTTTGCCTTGCGTAAGGTCAGGTTTTACAGTGGACCACTTTCCAGTGCCGTACAGAAGTGTATTTTTAAATCATTGCCCATTTAGATTTTCTTTTACAAAATTATATTTGTANTTAGTAAAAAACTTGCCTTAGCAAAGTATTTTTTATTATGACGGCATAGTAACCTTTCTGTAGCCTATTGAACGCAGATATTATATTAATTTCTACTTATGGCTAAATGATATTTCCTTCAGTGTATTCTCGAACGTGACTGTCTTGGAACCTCAAACGCCCTGTACGAAGGGTCATTTGTTGATGACTAATTGATCGTCTCGTATCGCGTTGCGAGAGCCACGAGCCATGGATCTGCCTAGTCCTAAGACCGGTTGTTTAGCAACAATAGGATACCTCCGGCAGTGGGGCAGTGATGAGGCTCATTAGGTGCCACCAATCCGCTGGCCAGGCTGTTCCAATGGCGTTGACGGGCGTTTCTCCTCGTGCCGAGAACACGCCCGCGTCCCGCCAGGATAACGTCTACGCATGCCCTTTCGGGCAGGACTGTACAATCAATTTTTATTTTTTTTTTTGGATAAATTCAGAATCATCCTGTATAAATATAAGTATATATACTTATATATATATATATATTTATTTTATAAAATTTTATGCGAATCAATTTTACTGAAGTCTAAACATTGTCAACCAATTCAAAAGTTAGAAATCACTAAAAAGTGGGAAACAAACTGAAAATTGATTATTACATGAGTTTGAAAACTGATTACGAAGTTCGTATAAACATTTGCGAATTTTGCATCCATGAAAACTAGCTTTAATACAGATGGTTCACAATTTTTTTGTGTGCAACATTTTTTACTGAGGCCTGTATCAAACTATCAAAATCTCATCAAATTTGTTTAACTTCATAATTTTGTCGTCATAACAAATTTATAAAACTTCCGTTTTAGTCGATCTAACCTTACTTTGTGATTGTTCTCTGTATATAGATAATAAAAAAAAGTGAAAATGATTTTTGGTTATCAACAAATACAATACAAATCTATTATAGTAACATAATCTGTTGGCTTATGTTTTACAGAAAATAAAATTTATTTTTGCAGTCTTAGTGCAAAGTTCTATCAAAAATCGAGAAACCAACACTTGTTTGTAGGTTACGTTTGTTTATATAACTTAAGAAAATAAGACAAATTCTACACTGAGAGAAATATTAATTATACACAAGTAGAAAACACTATAGTCATACTAATCTTCTAATATTTTACATAACATTTTTATCCTTAATTTTACATTGACAATTTATTGATGAATTAATTCACGAAGTCGCTTCATCAAGAAATTGAACAAGTGTAATGCACCAAATCTGCCGTCAAATAACTTCATGAATTTATTCATCAAGTTCTTGACGAATTAGAGCATGTTCTAATTTTCGTCTATTTCTTCGTGAAGTTCGGAAGTACCAACCCAACAGATTTCCAGCCTCAGATCAGTAATGAGGTTATGTTATTGGAATATGTAAATAATTGTGTGGCGTCGTACTAGTTTTGCATTGTTTTTACTGATTTGTTACTTACAAACACTAATATTTATATATGTGTCAAAACGGTACCGCTGTTGTATCACTAGAATTTAGAATTATGAGTGGAAAGGTGACATTTTTGAAATTTATTTGCTTCTTTGATTCGTTGGTAGAACTGATTCATGCGTCAAAAAACTTGACAAAGCCTGTCGCAGTGTAAAACCACACTGTTTACCAATAAATTCGTGAATTAATTCATGAAGAACTTCGTCAATATATTCATCAATAAATTGTCAATGTAAAACAGCTATAACATAATGTATATGCAGTGGTGGCTGGTGCGAAGAGACCCTAGAAATTGTCGTAGCAAAAAAAAAATAGTTTACAATGTTATCCAGATAATTAATTAGATTAGCCTTATGTGAAATACATTAAATGGGAAATATTAAATTTATAATGTGCAGTCAATTTATCTCGACTTGCAAAATTCATTTGAATTACACTGAATACGTGGGCTCCTCCAGCTCGCCCCTAGGTTTGCAAAATGTTTACAGCGGTGGTCACGGTTACCGTGGCGCAGCAATGAAAGACGTGTAAAGTAGCGCATATTTACTATGTAGTTTGGGTTTGGGCTCTGTTTAGTTCGCTCGTAACCAAATAATAGCTATTTACTTCTTTTTTCTTGTTAAACGGAACTTGTTTACGTGCGTTGTATAATTTTGTTACCTACTTAGGTATAGTTTCTTGTGCGTTTTCTAAAACATTGTAGGTAAAAGTTTAAATTAGATTGTAAAGACAGACTAACAGCACTTGCAATGATTGCTATTAAAAAAATCAGTGGTGTGAGAAATACCCAACTTTTTTGAAATAGTAAATGAATAGTGTGTTTCGGACAAAAGCAGAAGAATAGACTTTCATAATAATAAATAATGTCGAGCACATTTTGTCTATATTTCAATAGTAAGTACTTAAAATAAAACTACCCAATTATGTTTGATTTTTTTTAATGCTTTGTCGGTACTTAAATTTTTCCGCCCTCCCTATTATGGAAGTCAACAGACGCCACTGTGTATATGCAACACACAGTCAAAACTTTGTTGGTTATTATTGTATTACCGATAATATAATTCGTACCTACATTATTTGTAAGAAAAACAGACGAGGCTTCCTTGTTTAAGGACAAAGTTAATATTTCAATCTGGTTAAGTGCGCACATAGTTACGACAAAAGAATCTCTTATTAGTCTCTAAAAAGTCACTTATTTGTAATAAAAAAGATACTTGCTGGTGTTGTCATAAAACTTGTTTTTCTAAGACGACAAAACGTACCACCCGCAACAAAAACTTTTGCTAGAATCAAAATTGCACTTTGCCACCGTGACAAGAAGATAAAATGGAAAATATAAATAAAAAGTTAGTAAAAAACTTGCCTTAGCAAAGTATTTTTTATTATGACGGCATAGTAACCTTTCTGGAGCCTATTGAACGCAGATATTATATTAATTTCTACTTATGGCTAAATGATATTTCCTTCAGTGTATTCTCGAACGTGACTGTCTTGGAACCTCAAACGCCCTGTACGAAGGGTCATTTGTTGATGACTAATTGATCGTCTCGTATCGCGTTGCGAGAGCCACGAGCCATGGATCTGCCTAGTCCTAAGACCGGTTGTTTAGCAACAATAGGATACCTCCGGCAGTGGGGCAGCGATGAGGCTCATTAGGTGCCACCAATCCGCAGGCCAGGCTGTTCCAATGGCGTTGACGGGCGTTTCTCCTCGTGACGAGAACACGCCCGCGTCCCGCCAGGATAACGTCTACGCATGCCCTTTCGGGCAGGACACTTCAGGGGGGGTCGCTGAAGCGCTGAAGCCGGCAAGTCGTAAGTTGTTTTTCGCACAGGAGGATGGAGAGGGACACAAGGAATTGCGTCGAGAGTCCTGAAAATTTTGATGCACCTGTTCGTGTGTGTTATTATGGCGGTTTTCCACCAATCGGACAGTTGAGTTTATGTCCTGTTTGTGTTTTCTAGAACCTGAAAAACAAAAACAAAACTGAAACAAACCCAAAACTCTTGTTTCCATCAAGCGGGCTACATTTTGTTCGAGTTTTATTTTTGTTTTTTGGTCCTTTTCCACTGGTTGTCGCGAAGAAGTCAGAACACATTTTTCCAATAACCAACCAACATGTTTAGAGAAGATTTGAAGTGTTTACTTGGTTAGTTAGTTTGTATACTAGACAAGTAAACACATTAACCGTACACATAAGTATATATTTTTTAATAGCTATAATTCATTCATGATGATTAAAATATTGTTTTTGGGTAGAAGAAAACGCCAACATAGATATTGGGTTGGATCGCTTAAATAGAAAACACAACACGACCGTTTTCACTAAACAGACTTGAGTTTCAAAACACGTCGAAACCTTTTGATGTGACCGCTTTCGAGCGGCGAGACCCAAAAAACAAAACTCCAACTGTCGCAAAACTGAGGTGTCTTCAAAAAGTTTGCGAAAAGATACAGTTCCGTTTTATTCGACACAAGTTTGTGTTTTGTTTTTGTTTTGTCCGTTTAGTGGAAAATCGCCTTTAGACATTCTTTTTCCTTTGCACAGGATACTTTATCTAAAAATGTCTGACAAGTGTCGTTTGTGTAAATCATGATTGTGTTTGGCTTTTATTTATCAATCCTATTTAAAAAAAACGGCCCTTACCTATACCTTAGGTAAATCTTATATGAAAGTACTTCGTGTATCAAGTCAACGTCGTTAGGTAGGTAGGTATATCAATAAATAAAAAATTGAGGCATGCTTTGCAAAGACCCTATGGGAGCATAATATATATCAAATTGTGTTAATTGGTACCTATAGGTCGGTATATGGACAAATAATATTGTCTATAATCCTTCACAGTAGCAATATAACACAGTAGATGTAAATGAATAATAAATAAATAAATCCGAGAATACTTCGTATATAAATTCTAAATATGCCTAATTTTAAGCAGAAATTATTCTATTCGCTTTTCCCAAATTCCTAACGGTTCTAGTCCAGTTGGTAGAGCTTCGGCCTGTGTCAAACCTTGATAACCCGGAAATAACTACACAGGNGTTTTTGGGAAGAAGAAAACGCCAACATAGATATTGGGTTGGAATAGAAAACACAACACGACCGTTTTCACTAAACAGACTCGAGTTTCAAAACACGTCGAAACTTTTTGATGTGACCGCTTTCGAGCGGGACCCGAAAAACAAAACTCCAACTGTCGCAAAACACGCCAGTCTTCAAAAAGTTTGCGAAAAGATACAGTTCCGTTTTATTCGACACAAGTTTGTGTTTTGTTTTTTTTTGTCCGTTTAGTGGAAAACCGCCTTTAGACTTTCTTTTTCCTTTGCACAGGCACAGGATACTTTATCTAAAAATATCTGACAAGTGTTGTTTGTGTAAATCATGATTGTGTTTGGCTTTTATTTATCAATCCTATTTTAAAAAAACGACCCTTACCTATACCTTAGGTAAATCTTAAATGAAAGTACTTCGTGTATCAAGCCAATGTCGTTAGGTACGTAGGTATATCAATAAATAAAAAATGGAGGCATTCTTTGCAAATACCCTATGGGAGCATAATATGTATCAATTCTATATCAAATTGTGTTAATTGGTACCTAAAGGTAGGTATATGGACAAATATTGTCTATAATCCTTCACAGTAGGTAGATATACAGTGTAGGAAAGTACCGATGGTCTATCAGAAGTTACGTGNTTCGTAATCGGACCACCGCCATTTTGTAGCTATTTTTATTACGAACAAAATCATGTCCTAAGCATTTTTTCGTACAAAGTCATCCCGCTGAGTTATTTAAAGAAAACTACTAAAAAAATTTTTTTTCACGATTGAATTGTTAATAATTTTTTTTCCTGATAAGATACTTTGTCAGCAAATTAGCCTGTTATTGTACTCCTCATTTAAAGTATTCCTATGTAGTTATTTCCGAGTTATCAAGAAAATGTCACCAACAGTAACTTTTCAGCCTCTGCCGACTGGAGTATTCTTGAAATATCGGGGTTTAGAGTTGCCAGATCGTATGGGTAGTTGCTAAATTTGATGGTCACTTTATTAAATATTCCCTATACCGAGGAGTTACAGATTTTAAGATATTAATTTTAAAGAAAAAAATTGACAGATGCAAGGGTCCGCGAAGATGCTAGTAACTCTTTTCAGGAGCGTGCTATCAAGTGAATTTTTGGTGCATAGATAACACTAAATTATGATATACCAACAAATTAAAACAATTAATACTAGGTGTTTCACTTTTGCTGTTATCTACATTTTGACGACTTCAAACAGCTATAACTTTGTTAATTTAAATGGAACACCCTGTAGTTTTTTACTCTGTCGGGTGCAGATTGAAATTTCCTTTCAAGCCATATAAGCATTGTTAGGATTGCCGTTACTACTTTTAGAAATATTTGCAATTTTATATTTTTGGGGCAGTTTTTCTCGTATCAGACCTGTTGTCAAATTGGCTATGACCAGAAACACTCCAAAAACAATTGACATTTGTCAAGTTAGTTGCCAAATCATTGTGACGTCTGTAATAGTTTTTGCTGAAAATTTAAATAAAAATGCCTGCATGGGGATCGGTTAAATTAAACTAATGAGGATTGTTTTAATTTGTTTATTATTTATGGACAATGTGACAAAGTAATTTCCAGAACATGTAGGGAATTTGTTGCTTTGCACATTGTTCATAAATAACAAACAAATTAAAATAATGTTCATTAGTGTAATTTAAACGATCCCTAAGCATTTTTATTTACCTAAATATTCAGCAAAAACTATTACAAACAATAATTTGACAACTAACTGGACAAATTTCATGTTATTTTAATTGTTTTTGGAAAGTCTCTGGTCATGGCCAATTTGACCAACATGTATGAAAACTCTCCCAAAAATAGAACATTGCAAATATCTTTAAAAGTGGTATAACAGCAACCGGAAGCGCCATACAGTTCTAAATATTTTAGCTGTGTTTGTCCTACTGCCTTTCGTAGGTTGCCAAATTTTCAGATTTATCGGATAGGTATTTTCCGAGATATAGGCTATTCTAAAAATGAGTATAAAAATTTATGAGTGATATAAAGGGTGATAGAATATAGAAAATAAGATATTTTTCTATGGGCTTATCGTCTTTTGTTCTAGAGATAACGGGTTTCAAAAAAAAATTTTTTAAACCAAGTTTTTACCATGACTTTTTCAAAAAAATAATGTATTACATTGAAAGTTTTTGAGAATGGATACATCACGGTTGTTAGTTTTTGATCATCTACCTGCTGGAGATCGATGATGATTATTAAGGCGATTAAATAAAAATCAAATTTAAAAAAAATGTAGGAGAATTAAATTATGGAAATTTTCTAAATATCGTCTATTTTCGATTTTTAAAACGGTGTTTATTAGATACCTTACCAAATAATGTCAAGAAATAGAAGAAAAAGTAGAAAAAACTGCAAAAGGTGATGCTATTTTGTTTCTTTTAATGTTCGGGCATGTAAAATATATAAAAAAAATTTAAATTCATTCTGTAGGTACCTACATACATATGTGTTTTCATTGACCTCTTAAAACTGTTTAACATAGGCCATTCATCTTTGTTTAACTCCTAACTCGCGATTAACCACAGTTTTATTTTTTTTTGAGTTTAAAATTTTCTCTGAAAAAAAATTACCTAGCAAAAATTAATTTATCAATTTATGTATTTTATTTCGATATGATATAACAAATTTATGAAAACGTTGTTCGTATAACAAGTAAGACTTAAATTAATTTGGGTAAAATTTCAGACGCCTTTACCCTTTACTTCTCTTATATTAATTTAACTTGTCGCGATGTTTTTTAATCCTTGGTATTATTATCGTCACATATACAATATACCTAATATATAGAACGAATAAAGAACTCGTCGCAAGAATATTGAAAAGTGTGTCAATTTTGAAATATCGCTGACCTAGTGGTAGCTAGTAGGTCGCTGAATAAGCGTTTTTGTAGTTCTGCACCCGCGTTAGAATCATGCAATGTTTCATCATGACCTTACCTATATATTTTATTTGCTTTGCAACCATACGTGTGCTTTTATAACCAGATCATTTCCTGTAGAATTATGTAATAAGAAAGGCAGTTATGCAGCAACAACTAAAAAAAGTATAACGCAATATTTTACATTTTTAAAAAAATATTAAAACGATTGGTTTCAACTGAAAATCATTTATTATAAAATAACTCAGTTTTATATTAGAAATTGTTACTTTTAATTTCAAAGAAAAGTCTTGTTATGCAAGTTGTATTAAATTTAATTATTTATTACATTCATCATGTTTACTAACGTTTTAATATTATCGCATTAATTATTTATTAAATTCATCTTAGATTGTAGTTAATTTTGCTATTTTTATCTAATGAATAATCGGATCCATAATAATTTGATAAAATGGTAGCTTCAGAAGAAGTAGAAGAATTCAAGTTATGTTTTGTGTTCATACTTCATAAATCATAACCTCAATATTTTAATTCTAAATTTTCGCTCAAGATATGAGACTAATTGTTAACAAAAAGATCAAGTTTTTTATGAGCAAATGTTACCATTTATTAAACAACGAGCGTAATTTTTCTAGTTCGGCCAGAGGCATCATTCTTGGTATTGAAACGTCCTGTGATGATACTGGTTGTGCAATTGTTGATACAGAAGGGAATGTTTTAGGTGAAGCATTGCACTCTCAACACTTAATACATCTTAAGTAAGTTTTAAAGTCATTGCTGTAGCTGTAGTAGGTTTAAAAACGTATATCTCTTCCTTGTTTTCTGATATTTTACCTGTTTTGTTCCAGCAATGGAGGTATTATTCCACCGATAGCCCAAGATTTACATAGAAAAAATATTGAAAATGTGGTCAGTGAAGCTGTTAACGCTGCAAATATACATTTCAGAGAAATTGATGCCATAGCCACAACAGTTAAACCAGGTTCATATATTTAAATATTTAAATTTCCACAATATGAGTTGTAAAAAAAAAGTCCGGTAAAAATTTTTGCTGTATTGCTTTTATGAATAATATAAGATTATTGATATATAAGTACAATAATCTATGTTTATTAATTCTGATCAATACATCACGCTGAAGAATGCGGTATTTCCAAAACAGGCGAAGGGTTGTTGTCTTTTTCTGCTACAGAATTACCAGATTCTGGATTCTGGCATTCGTATGAATCACAGGAAATATTTCCACAATCCCCATGACCAGACATCGTCTCCACATCATTTTCATCATTAGAGTTGTCTCCTGTACAATTAGGGGCCACCTCACCTGCAAACGCTTCAATTAAATGTTCCGGTTCACTGAGGTCACTTTCACTACTGCTACTGGTCAGCATTAAGGAAACGGTTGAATTCAGTAGGTTCGGCGAACTGATGGATATTCCAAGCGCTAACAGCTGGTGATTTTCCTCACATGAAGAATGGGATTTCTTTCCAGTCACTTGTGTTTGTATGGATGACACTGAAGATGAGCTACAAGTGGAACGATTTGTCAATGAATCTTTCAGACAATCTTCGGTGCAAGTATTCTTTGTCTGCACAAGATTGGTGCTGCAGCCTGAAGACACGGATTTTGAAAAGTTGTCGGAAAATGACTTCTCAGCAACATTGCTGTGGGACGTTGAGGGTATGGGGCTGGTACTGACATCGGCGTTGATTAGGCTTTGCATGTTATAAGTAGTAGCATCACCCTGATTTCCGATGCACAACGTCGATGTCATTGCGTTTCTAGACATTTCAGCAGCTAGAACTTCCTTGGATTCTTTAATCTGAGTAATGTATTGATGTTGTGTCGACTGTAGATGGTTAATGTACCACTGCTGATCGCGACACCTTTGGTAGAACGTGGGGGCTCGTACTTGGAATCGCAGAACTAGCGTATCCAGTGTCTCGTTAAGGTATCCTTCGCTGGCCAATAGGTCCAAACGGAAAAATCTGTTGTACCCCCAACATTCTCCCACTTCAAAGTCAGATGCAAATTCTCTTACGATATTCTTCGTAGAGTCCCTAGTTGCTTGGTGTATCATTTCCACCCTGTATTCGTACTTTGATGTTTCCGGATACCCAGCGCTGAGTTCTAGGAATACAGAGAGATAGTTACCTCTGACTACTCCATTACCATCAGGATAGACTTTCAAACGCCAACATAGTCCATTGCAGTTGAGGGGGGCGGAATATACGGGGTCCGATTTTTGTTGTAATTGCGCAAAGTTGTGCATGATGAAAGTGCTGTTATCATAGGAAGGCACAATTTCGCTGCAAAAAATATCTCCTATTTTATAACTGGAAAATAAATATTTTTTTAACGGTAATGGTTATGTAATACCTGTGGAAATCGGAAGGTACTGGGGCCGTTACGAAACTTGTCATAGGCTTCTTCCTAATGCTGTGTATCATTCTCAGCAACTCGTTACTTTTGGTAATCAGTTCGGATCTTGTGCTTGCTTGCAGTTGATGCTCTAGTTCATGCAATAAATGCTCGAGTTGTTCTGTTTCCTATTATACAACAAAAAATAAAAATATATTTGTAAAAATAAACAATCAAGAGGTAGTGCAACATCTAAGATCATTCTCTTCTCAGCACATCAACATCAGTAAGTTTGGAACTTATTAGTTCTCATAAGCCATAGGTGAAACGACGAATGAACGATTTAAACATTAGGATGTCTAACCTACAAAATGTATGTCATATCTCAAATAGGCTTGCCAGATCTCCGGGTTTTGATGGTACATTTTCGGTCTCCGGGTTAACATATCATTTCTCCGGGTTTTGTTTGTTGCAGGAAAATCGTGATTTTTTCGATATTTTCTGTTTTTTTTTAGACATCAAAATCCAAAATATATTTCCCCGGGTCACAAAGATATATTTCCTGATTTCCTTTTTTCTTTTAGACCTGTGTCCTTTTTTTTTTAAACCTCGATTTGTCCGATTGCAAGCAGAATCTTTTTTTTTTTTAGATGTCAATTATACAAACGGGTCATATCTCCGGGTTTGTCATGAAATAGATCTGGTAACCCTAGTCTCAAATGTCATTGTAACTCAGTACCTGCTGTGCATAGTAATTTCTTTATACCTACTGGCAAAGAGTGACCTACTAAACTCTAGGTACTACGAAAGCATGACTCGTTTTGCACTATGCAAAATAAACTTTTTCACTAATGCTATTTACTGAACGATTACTCAATCTCTCTCAGATTAATTATTTTCCTTTAGCTAAAAAGCTTATGTACCGTAGTACGAAACAAGTTAAGCTTCAAGGTGTCTACTGATTAGTAGATCACTCTTTGCCAGTAGGCACAAAGCATTGCTTTGGGCTAGTAGTACAGTCATTGAACCCTTTCACCTACGAATTCTTTGAAACTGAACTGATCGACTTGAAATTTGGCAGATAGTTAGAGAAAAGGTCAATGAACATTAGTGACATAGCGCCGATTGACGCTTCCACCCTGTTGGGGGTTGACACATCTTCTCGGGGTGGAATTTTTTTTTTCAAAAATAACGCTGGAAATTGAAGAGAATCAAATTTTGAGCAAAAAATATTCAAAGAATTTTTTCTCGAAATCAATAGTTTTTTAGTTATTCGCGATTGATTTTGAGTAAAAAAAAACACTTCTCAAAGTAGTTTTCGCGAATAACTCAATAACTACGCATTTTATTTAAAAAAAGTAATGAACAAAAATATAGCTTATAAATAAACAAAGAAAATCGTTAAAAAGTGTTGTAAGTCCTATACAAAGCGAAATATGGTTAGGGGAAGGGGACTAGTTTTGGGGGAAATACTCGAAACGATGTATTCAACGTCAAATAATGGAAAAAAGGATGAATTTTATGTGTATAACGCTCCAGGAGTTTTTTGTAGTACTCAAAAAGACCTTCAAAATGAACACTTATAAAAGTTAATTAGAGCAAAATTGAAGGAGTTATCGTCAAAAACAGATGGGTTGCTCATATTTTTTAAGGAAAAATGAGCAGTAAAAACACTACCATTTCCATCAGAATCGTAGACCCTTTATAATTAGTTTTGTTTTAGTGTTTTTCATACGATCCTGAAGTTAGACTGGTTTAGAATGTGTATATTTTTAATAATGTACGGGAAAATTTGAAAACGTATTGTTCATTATTCAAAAAAAAAATTGCCTTATTTATATAATAACTCTGAAACTATGAAAGATATGTAAAAAATGATAGACAACAAAAATGTAGCATTTTTTTCAACAAATATTCTTCTTTTTTTTTATTCCTATAGCATAAAAAACAAAGGTGATATTGCTGCTTGAAGTATCCATTTTAGTGAAAAAACGACCTGTCTCGAGCCCTTCGTACCTTTCCCTTTAAAAATCGAAAGTCTTAAAAGGTTTTATATGCAAACGATCTTACAGCTCTTGAAATTATCTTTATTGTAGGATACTATAGCTTCAAAATTAACCGAGTTATGGTAAAAAAACTAATGACATTTTTTCGGAGCAAAATAGGCTTTCTCATTTTTATATATTATATTATACAAATAAATTTAGTGTGATTATGTGCATCATAGCAATTTTTTTATGATTGATTATATTTAAAAATCGATTATAATAAAAATATTTTACATTAATATTGGTAAAACCGTAATTTATAAGAGTTGAAAATGGCAAAAGTAAAATATTCTTTCATAAACAATATAAGGGAATTTTTATTTTAAATTATTGCACAATTCCAAGATTTAAAACGTAATTTTTTATCATTTTTTAGCACAGGGGTGATTTATAAGGGTTAAAAAGATTAAAAACATTTGTGTTATGAGACACAAATTCTTTCATAAGCAATGAGGGAATTTTTATTTTAAATAATTGCACCGTTAAAGCATTCCAAGCTTTTAAAAAGTAATTTTGTATTATTTTTGTCAATACAGGGGTGGTTTTTAGGGGGTTGAAATGGAAAAATTCTTTTATTAGCTATAAGGTAACTTTTATTTTAAATAATTGCACGATTTAATCATTTCAAATCTGAAAAAAGTAATTTTTATCATTATTTTTGCATATGGGTAGTTTTTAAGGGTTAAATAAAGGGTCGAAAAGATCAAATATATCATAAAACTTGTTTGAGAATATGGAACATTATTTAATCTTTGTGCTTGAACAAGATTTTTATCAATAAAATGCTTAAAACTTAATTTTTTAATTTTTTTTTACTTAGGGGTAGTTTTTACCCCTAAAAAACAAAAAGCGGCAATCGGGCTTATGTCACTTTTGAACATGAGTCTAAGATGAGCCTTATTCTAAATTTTCATGCAAATCCATGCAGTTTCAAAGAATTTGGAGGTTACAGCTGATTTTCAGCTTCAATGACTGTACTAATAGATGAGATGACCAATGAACGATTTAATCATTTAGATGTCTACCTACTGGCAAAGAGTACAACTCTAGGTACTACGAAAGCATGACTTGTTTTGCACTAAGCAATAAATTTTTTCACTAATGATATTTATTGAGCGATTACCCAATGTAGCTCTCAGAATAGTCATACCCCATTAGCTAAAAAGTTTCTATCACGCGCGCTCGCTATGGGACCTATAGTGTAGGGGGTTATGTGCACGGAAAGTGCCAGATAGTATCTGTATTTGTATCTGGCACTTTCCGAGCATATAACCCCCTATGCTATAGGTCCCATAACGATTCGCACTTGTGATAGAAAATAGTATGTGCAACTCATTCGGAAAAGTTGCCATAGCGCCACTTGGGCCCGTGTGGCGCTATTGGCAACTTTTCCTCACTCTATACACAATGAACTATTATGTACCTTAGTGCGAAACAAGTTAAGCTTCATAGTGCCTATAGATTAGTAGTTCACTCTTTGCCAGTAGGCATAAAGCATTGCTTTGTGTTAGTAGACATTGAGTAACAATGACATTTAATATATGACCTTTACTTTGTAACAATATCTTTTTACTTGCCCTTACTGAAAGTAAACTATCATTTAATCTTTCCTCTAGGCAGTTAAAAAATATTGTCAAGAAAAAAAAAATGTGAAAATAAATAGATAATATCATATATCACTGTCTTAAAGTAACACACCTGAGTCAGTGAATCCTTTTGCCCCATTAAGGTCAAAATTTTGGTCTTCAGTTGAGAATCCAGTCTTGTCATCATCAAATCAACTGCATTTCTTATCTCGCGGACCTTCTCCTCCTTAGCCGATCTTACAGACTCCACATTCCTCTCAACCTCCTGGACGATACTAATTAACTCCATCAGTCTTCTTCTAAGTTGCGATACCTCATCTTTGATTTGTGTGACGTGCTGTTCGTACACCTCTTCAAGCGGCTTGAATGTGTGCCCCGAGTGAGTGCCACCCCATAGGGCGCACTGGTGGCAGATACAACACCTGCAAGTCCAGCAGTAGACCGAAAGCTTCTCCAAATGTGTAGAACATTTATCTCTGTCAGCGTCTTCTTTCCTGAGCGTGCTAACTGACTGCAGTGTATCGAGTTGTTGGGTGACCTCTTCCACCCACCGACAATTCACCAGCTCATGCAGGTGCAAAGAGGCCCTGCAGTGTGGGCACTGGGACCTCTGTTCTGTCAACCATCTACGTATGCAGACGTAGCAGCACAACTTCGAGCAGTGGGGGCACAGATGGGCGTCCCGCAGTTTTTCCATACAAATGAAACATCGAAATACCTCGGCTAATGTTGATTCTGAGTTAGAGTTGTAACATTCCATGATTTTGAGTGAGTCGGGTTAAAAAAACTAATAAATAAAACCAAGCTGTCGGGGTGACAGTAAACTGTATTTGACATTTGTGCCCAAGGCAAGGGCTACTTTTTTTATATACGTTTGCCGATGGTTCCTTAATATCAATAGCTAAGAATATTTCCTTTCTCTTTTATTGCAGCTTAGTGTAAAGGTAAGTTGCGTTAAATCACCATATTTTGGGTTCTCCTATATGCTCCAGCTCTGTGTCGGTTATGCAAAACTCCCTGTACATTATATTTGTACCAATATTTTTGTTATACAGGGTGTTATAAAATTCGCGGACACGGACTGTGGATCATATTAAGCTAGATAAGGTCATAAAAAAGTGTCTATGATTTTTCAATCAGACCAGTATTTTTCGAGATATAGCAGTATCAAATATCCAAAAATAATAAAAATATATATTTATAAATTTCAATTTTCAATCATTAGATAAACAATTACGACAAACGAGTTACAACAATTGTTCAAAATTTCCACCGTCTGCTGTTAAACGTACTTAAGAACATTGTGCTACTGCTCTAATGGAGTTGCGTATCACCTCTAGTGTTATTTGCTGTATTTATTGAAATAGGTGGTTCTGCAATTCATTCAAATTTGCCACTGGTGTTCTGTACACCAACGTTTTTAAGAAGCCCCAAAATAAAAAAATCACATGGCATTAGGTCTGGAGAACGAGGTGGCCAAGCAAATGGATCGCCTCTGCCGAGCCAATTGCACTGCTTCACCTGCACGATTATTTGGAGCTCCGAGAGCCATCAGCATATCATACTATTCACGATTTGAGTAATTGTGGCCTATTATTTTGCAGTTTGTATTGACAGGTACTTTTACTGTACTCTAATGATGTCAAAGTATTGATAAATGCTTTCTGAATTGTCATTAATTGTTATAGAGCTGTCTGTTTCAAACAATACAATAAATAACGCCAGAGATGGTAGGTACGCAACTCCTTTCGAGCTGTAGCACAATGTGCTGAAGCATGTTTAGTAGCAGGTGGTGGAAATTTTGGACAATTCGTTTGTCATCATTGTTTATCAAATGATTAAAAATTGAAAATTTTTATTATTTTTGGATGTTTAAAACTACATTATATCGAAAAATATCGGTCTGATTAAAAAATGGAGACATTTTTTTATGACCTTATCTAGCTTAACGTGATCCCACAGTCCGTGTCCGCGAATTTCGTAACACCCTGTATGTTCGTTTATTTCCTTCCAGTGGTAAGTCAAAGCCCCAATTGCAGACTTTTTGCTTAAATTCAATTCATGGATTGTTTTATTATTTTGAAATTTATTAATTGATTTTGGCTCTATTTTACATGGATAATTTATATAATTATTAATTAATAATTAATTCTCTTTTACTTTTCATTTTCTAATTATAAATTGTAGATAAAATACATATTATTTATATAAATGGGTTAAAAATCTATTAGGCCAACCAATATAGAGCGAAAAAAGAGGCTGTTTTTACACTTAAATATTACAGCAAATTCCATGTATTTCCTTTTGAAAAATACTTTGTAAATGAAAACCCAAGTGATTTCCCAGCAAAGTCGTGAACAATTTTTTTTAAACAATAAAAACTGCAAAAAAATTAAATTTTTTTGTTTTTTTTTATAATATCTCGAAAAATGGTGATGGAATTGTCTTACTCTCAATAGAATTTTTGTAGAGAATAAAAAAACCTATAAAATGTTTTTTTGTGCGACCCGATCGGTTCATTTTTTACAGAGAAAATCCAGAAAAACCTCTAAAATATACCTCTTTTCAAAAATTCATAACTCCATCAAATTTGAAGTTGGAAAAACAATCTCGTGGAAAATGACAGATAATAATATGTAGTTTAATCATTCGCAAGATGGTTTCTGTCCGATGCATAGTTTTTGCACAATTGCATTATAAACAAATTAGGGTCTTTTTTGCATAGCGTGGCAATTTATCAAAAATGGTCCGATTTAAATTCTGAAAATGGCATCTGAAAGTAGAGAACAAAATCTTCAATTTGTATAGGTACCTCGGATTTTCGCTTGGGTGGTGGGAAATATGCTAAAATTGCCCTTGAAAGTCGCCTGAAACGATCGAAAGTATGGGCAATACAATTGTGCAAAAACTATGCATCGGACAGAAACCATCTTGCGCACGATTAAATTACATAATATTATTATTGCCTGTCATTTTCCACAAAATTCTTCAAATTTGACAGAGTTATGAGTTTTTGAGGTCTATTTTTGAGGTTTTTCCGGATTTTCTCTGTAAAAAACAATCGAGTAGCACAAAAAACCATTTTATAGGTTTTTTATTCTCTACAAAAGTCCTATTGAGAGTAAGACAATTCCATCATTATTTCTCAAGATATTATAAAAGAACCAAAGAAATGTCATTTTTTTGCAGTTTTTATTGTTAAAAAAAAATTGTTTGCGACTTTGCTGGGGAAATCACTTGGGTTTTAATTTATTAAGTATTTTTCAAACGGTAATTTATAATTTAATGGCCTAAATAATCACCAAAAAAATAAATAAATGTTTATTTATTTCTGAATAATCAACACCCTGCAACTTTCTACCGAAAAAAATTAGGTGTGGGTTTATAATCATCAAATATTTTTTCATTTGCTATGAATCACAAATTATTGTTTTTTTATTAGGTTTGCCCTTATCTTTAAAAATTGGCACGACTTATGGCAAATACCTGTGTAGGCTGCACAAAAAACCGTTTATACCGATACACCACATGGAGGCACATGCTTTGACGGCAAGAATGCACGATAAAAGCATCGAATTTCCGTTTTTGGTGTTACTGATCAGTGGAGGACATTGTCTACTAGCCGTAGCAAAAAAAGTTGATAAGTTTCTCCTCCTAGGGGAAGGCAAGGACGATGCTCCGGGGGAGGCATTCGATAAAGTAAGGAAGCGAAAGCAATGATAAAAAAAATTTAATTTATATATTTTAGTTGGCAAGGAGAATGAAACTAAAAAATATTCCCGAATACTCTCAACTTTGTGGGGGACAAGCGATAGAAAAAGCAGCATTGAAAGCCGACGACCCTTTACGATATAAGTTCACGATACCCCTCTTGCAGTATAAAGATTGCAATTTCAGTTTTTCGGGTATAAAAAATCAGTTGCTATTACAGCTGTTCAGCGAAGAAAAAGAAGAAAGTGTGTAAATACAATCTTAGTACGATTCTATTTAACGTTTCTAATAGGTGGTTGTTTCAGATGTACCGCCTGACGGTGTTATACCGGGCGTTAGTAATTTGTGCGCGGGGCTTCAGTTGGTAATGACTAGACATTTATGCCATAGAGTTCAAAGGGGCATGGAGTACGTGGCTAGGAAGGGAATAATACCGCCCAATAAGCAAACTTTGGTAACGTTTTGTTTAATAAATTGGACATATAAAAACTGAATTGTTCCTGTAGGTGGTTTCTGGTGGCGCAGCATGTAATAATTTTATCGCTACCGGTTTACAAATGGTGTGCGACGAATTAGGCTATAAAATGGTACGTCCGCCTCCCAAGTTATGTACCGATAATGGTGTGATGATAGCTTGGAACGGAGTAGAAAGGTGAATTTATGTTTCTTTTCTTACTTTTCGTCATTGTTTAATACACCTCCAGAAAGCTCAATAGATATTTCGTAATCACTTGTGATAGCGTTTTTGATAGTAATGTTCCTCAAATCGTCTTAGCATAGATTCCTCAAAATTAGAATCTGTAGCTTTTACTTTTATTGGATTCTCAGACATAGACAATTAATTAAAAATATTTTGTGTTAAAATTTCAGTTAGTTTTATTATCCCATTTTTTAGTTATTAATGAAAATGTTGAAAAAATCACTGTTTTCTGCCTACAAAATTGATACCTCTCACAGGACAGGTAGTAAATAATTGTAAACAACAATCTGAAAAAATTTGATAAAATGATACATTTATAAATATATTCTTAAAAACAGTATCAGAATGGTCAATTACGTTCACGGTCCGCAGGGTATACAGACTATACAGTATAGCCTTTATAACTGTATTATTTTAAAAAAAAATTTCAGATTGTTTTTTACAATTATTTACTACTTGAGTTTTTTTCTTTTTTTAAAGAATGCAATATTTACGGAGATAGCACTCCCTTCTGTTTTGCTTAAAAATAAAAAAAAGAAGAGTTTTTGAGACAAATGACCTTCACAGTACTAAAGACAATAGTTCGACTTATCATCAGTAAAAATTTGGAATTTTTTTAACAATTAACAAAAAAATTACGACAAGTTAAAGTGGGAGGTATCAATTTTGTAGGGAGAAAACCGTGATTTTATCAACATTTTCATTAATAACTAAAAAAATAGGATAACAAAACTAACTGAAATTTTAGCACACAATAGAGTAATAGTGAGCATATATGGTCCAAATTTCAAATTTTTTTGCTTCTACGTTTTCTTAATATCGGTTTCCAAACTCGGGGGTCTATTTCATTTATTTCGATAGTAGGCTATGATTTCATGTGTCATTTTTGACTAGTTTTTAAATTATTCAAAAAAATTAAAAATGTTTTGAAATTTAACACCCTTTATTTTTTTAACGAAGCGTCTAGATAAAAACTTATAGGAAAGACCCCTTAAAATTCACCAAAGAATACGAGTTTTCATTATTGGTTACCATTTGTGAATCACCCTGTATAAACGTAGCTGTTTCGTTGGGAAAAATAAGAGTAATTCCAAGTGATTTGCTTCATTTAAAGGAATAATAATTACTAGGTATCTACTGGTGCTGCTATTAACATATTTTACATATATTTTTGTGTTTTGGTGAAAAATAGTGTATCTGCGTCCGTATTATGGAGGGTCTGTTATTAAGAGACGGTAGCGTTAAGAAAACCACATTGTAAATTCTAGTTTCCGAGGTGTCCTTAATGGAGGTTTTACTGTACCATCTTTTTGTAGGTGGAAAGAAAATATTGGCGTATTCGAAGACTTTGAACACATCGATATTGAGAAGTGTTCACCCTTGGGAGAGAGGTTGATAGAAGAAGTAACAAATGAAAGTATAAGCTGTAAATGGGTGAAACTGTCAAAACTAAATCTTCCTCAGAGTAGATGGAACACGACTGATTAGTTTTATTTTTATTGAATAGAAAATGTACCTTTTTTTAATTGTTTTATTAAGAAAACATCAGTAGCTCTGTTTAAAGCTTAATATTTAATTATACAAGTGATGGGCCTCGTTCTACCATGCTTTTTCTCATTTTTCCGTACAAGTCAGCCTTTTCTTTGTCTTCTTCTTCCGCTTCAAGATCAGCGAGAACGTCTAACAGTTTTCTCAATCTGTCCTTAACAAGATCCACATCCCCTGTACTTTCCTTAGCCGACATAGGGATGATATCACAGAACTTTAAAATTTTATTCGGACGCATTTCTTCCGGATAATTTTCAAAGAAGCCTACAAACAACTACGTTATCCTACAAATGATCTATTTTGATTTATTTACCTTTAAGATTTGTTAATTGGTCTTTGATTTCCTTGTATTTTTCAATGGATCCTTCCGAGTCCATCTTGTTTATCAAAAGCATGGACGGTTTGTTAAGCAAATCTTCATTATACAGTTCCAGTTCCTAGAAAAATATTTTTATAAATAAACTAAACTGTGAACAATCACGTTGATTAAATACCTTTATCAGTAACATAATTGTTTCCAAACAACTTCTGTGTGGATACTGCGGGCTCAATTGAAATCCGTGAATATCAATGATCATCAAAATCAATTTCGTACGTTCTACGTGTTTTAGAAATTGGTGCCCCATACCTTTATTAGCGTGAGCGCCTTCAATAAGCCCAGGTAAATCGGCCATTGATATTTGTCTCAAATCGCTGTATGTGAGAATCCCAAGATTAGGCCTTACTGTGGTGACTAAAAGATTTTTTATTTTTAACGTAAGTATACTAAGCATATAATCTTTACTTACAGGGGTAACTAGCGATCTTTGGTTTAGCTTGTGAAATTGCTTTCAAAAGTGTACTTTTTCCGGCATTTGGGAAACCAACCAATCCTATATCGGCTATTAGTTTTAGATCTAATTTTATTGGATAAGCTTGACCCTTGGTGCCCAAAAAGCCATTTTTTGGATGACCTCCAGTGCCACCCTTGGCTATAACGAGTTCTTCACCTTCTTCGTTCAGTTCACCTAAAGTGATCAAAATTTATTATACCTTCCTGTATAGTACCTTTCAAACTCAGCATACCTATTTTTTTTCCGAAATCAGTGATTAATGTTACACCCACTGGCACTTCAAACTTTAAGTCTTCACCTGGCGTCCCCAATATAAAATTGTGAGATGAATGTCTACCGTTTTTTGCTATATATCGTTTCATCTTATTTGATTTGAAGACATTTTCTAAAGTGATATTTTCCTTGCCTACTACAATAACATTCCCTCCTTTGCCCCCAACTCCCCCAAATCTGAAATTATTTTTATTTAAAAAAGTATTGTGTAATATTTAAATTACCTTAACTACTTTGGTAAACCATTTCCACCTGTACCTCCTTGAACAAAAATTCGAAGTGAATCTCTGAAGCCTGTGCGGAGATACTTTCTAGATATATGCTTGGCAAATACTACTTGCTTTAACTGAACCATCGTTAAGTATATATAGGTCAGGTATATAAATGGTTAAATATGAGAAAAACCACTTTTCTTTACTTTTTACTAAGATAAATACATTTAAAAAAAAAATAAAACAAGTGACCCTTTACAATTTGTAGAAATAATTTTCCTCTTCACTAAATAAATTACAAAAAACAAGGTTAGGTTCAGTTTAAATCAAAAGTCAAAAACATCTGCAAAATTAACAATTAGGGTGGGTCCACATAGCTCGAAATTGCCATGAATTTAAAACGGAACAAAACGGCTATTGGCTCCTTGATTGGTCGCATAGAATTTAGATCAAGTTTACATTTCTGTGATTGGTCGTAACCGATATGTGGTAGATACTCTTAAATTCGTTGTTCTTTTAAGTTGCAAAGGGTTGATAAATAATTTTTTTATAAACATTATTACATTGGCTCAGTGTTGACAACTGTGACGATTTTTCGTCAAAGTGATGATTTTTTAAGGGGAAAAATTGCTATTGACGAATTGACGAAGAATTTACTCTTGTGACGATTTTTTTTTCGAAGTACATTAGTGGACATTAATTTTCATTTATAATATTTGTATTTCATAAATAATGCCAAGAAATTGCATTAGCAATGACATATTTGTTAGAGAGGGATTGAGTGAAAGCAGAACATTATCAGTTGGTTCTGTATCTGGCATTTTTGCGCCTTTGTTAAAAAACCATGCAGCTATTGATATAGAAAAGAGAAGATGGAGAAACCACTACCTTATCATTTTGATGAGGATGAAAAAAAATAATTTTGTTTTTTTAGTACATTTTATTATCTGTTTTATAATCCGTTTATATAAACAACATGCAGTAAATTTCAAATTTGCAGCGGGCGACGAAATGTGACGAATTTTAAAGATCGTCATGAAGAAATTTGCGTTCTAGAGGTTGGCAACATTGCATTGGCTGTAAGCTGCAAGCTTGTTGGACCTTAGTAAGTCGGCTCTTTTAACTTTTTTTTATATGTTATTGTTATTACTAGACTTAACATATCCTGTTATTGTTGGGCATCGCCTGTTGGATATGTATTTTAAATAAATAAATAAATAAATACCCGAAAGCAGCTTAGATTTGTGTATCAGTCATTATTTTTTTATTTCGTGATCGCGTGATCCATAGTTTTAAAAATAATTCAAATCTTTACATGTGTCTCGACTGTACCTGACTGATAAATAAATTGATTACCACTTACTTACTTTAATTTGCTGCATTCATAAACATGCCGACAAAATAATTTAGCTGTTCCTTAAACTTTTGTATTAGGATAGCAGAAGTTACAGAGGATCTTAGATAGTTATAATTGTTTTAATTTTGTTGTTGGTAACATTTGATTACAGAAAAATTACAGTTAACAATGTTTAATTGATAGATGGCGCTAAACTATTAATGCGGTAACCGAACACCAGATGGCGGCAGCACCAGTCGATTTTGCGTCATTCTATAATTGTAAAAAAATTTCATTTCACAATTTGAATTTAAATTAATTTACGTATCTGGAATTACAGAGTTCTGAAATTAAATGTTGCTAATTCAAAAAATTATAAGATATAGTAACTGGGACATATTCTGCAACTTACCTAATACAATATTTTAAGGAAAAGCGAAGTATGTAAGTAATTTTGTGATAATTTTAAAATTTAGTAAAACAAATTGACTTATTATTAACAAATAATAGCTGACCTTGGCGCATTGTTATGTAGAAATCTATTTTAATGACATCACATTCCTTTTATCATGAAAAATTACCAGCATAATCAAAAGAAATTAAACTTATCAATTTCGTCATTATGAGAGTAAAATGATATGACATGCAGCTGGTCTTTTTGGAAACAGTTTTTCAAACCTCTGTAGAGTTTAATGTATACCTTTTTTGTTTGTTTTTAACTATTTTAACAGATAAGGAAATGATCATTGTAGGTTGTAAGTTCTCTTGGTGGCAGTACTTTTATAAATTTTGGCGGTAGAAAATATATTTCACCATAACGACTCACGTTTAAAAAAAAACGTATAATTGTCAAAATAGTTTATTGCGCTTACAAAAATAGCTTCACATAAATACATAAATAGTTCAACAAGAAATTTAAAAACAAACTTTTTCAATAAATAAATCAAAATAGATTACAAATCAATGTTAAAAATTGCTCAATAATTTGGTTTCAACATTTACATAAAACAATTATAATAAAAAAATGTACAATTCTACATCAACATCCGATTAGTTCCTCTCTGAAGGCACAATTTACAAGAAATCAATAAATATTTCAATCCGATACTTATTAATTCCAAAATACACTTTAATCAAACTTATGCGTGATCAACGGGAACCTTATGATCCTCAACTGTTTTCCGTAGTCGCACAGCACGGCGTCCCGTAACAGAATGAGCTGTTTTATGAAGATGAACGGTGATCGGCCGAGGGTGATCGTCCTCACGCACTCGCCCGTCCTCACGTCCCATATTACCAGTCCTCCACTCCTCGCGGTGACCACCAGATGCTGCGCCAGCATAAGGACGTGAATGGAAAACACCTGCGAGACGTAGATGGTGTTCAGAAGGTGCCCTTGGAATCGTTCCCAGACGCAGAGTCGTTCGTCTGTTCCCAAAGAAATCACGTAACTCGCCGAATACGTTAGAGACGTAATGCTGCCATTGTGGGCCTGGATGTTGTACATACACGCTCCTGTAATCAAAAGTTGCATTGCATTTCATCGTAGTAGGGAAGAGAAAGCTTTTACTTACCTGTTTGCAAGTCCCAGACGCACAGCATGCCGTCCTGCGATCCACTACCGGACGTCGCGGGGGAAACCCTGTCCATAAACAGGCAAGTGATCGGACCACAGTGTCCATGCAGCGTGTACAGGGGGCTGCCGTCCTCTAACCTGAAAACCTTCAACGTGTGGTCTTGGCTGCCCGTCAGCACCCTGCCTCCCTCACAGTCCAGGCACGTCACCGGCTGCTGGTGCGCCCTCGTGCTGATTATTTTTATACAACGCAAGTCTTCTTCGCAATCAGTCTGAAAAAATACAAATGGTTTCTAAATTTCAGTTTGTATGTTTCAGTATAGAATAGAAACTATTCACGTTTATTTAAAGGATAACACCACTGTAAAATTGTCAAATAAAGCATTTAAGATTTCACGCCTACAGATTAGTAGGTCACTCTCTGTCAGCATGTACAAAGTAATGCTTTGTGCTAGTACACATTATGTAGCAATGACATTTAAGATATGACATAAAATTTGTAGGTTATATCTCACTAACACTCAAACTCCTCTTCAAATCATCAATCATCTTACCTATTTATAATTAATGACATAGTTTTAACTGCAAAGTTTAATAGTAGCACTTGTTTACACTATATTGTAATGCATTTATTGCTAGTCCGAAAAGGTTTAAAAAAAAATAAAACAAAACGTTAAGTCAATTATTAGTTCTACTATAACAATATTTTATAATCGCTAAACAAAGTCAAAGAGAAAAATGGTTCCGTTTGAAAGATATTTAAACGTTTATGATTTATGATGTAACTCACCTGATTCTGAATTTCACGGTCGGAAACGGACCCCAGGGATCCCGTCCTGACGTGAGTCCTTTTATAGGCGCAAGTAAAGTTCCAATCGATAGGACGGCCCTGGTTGTAGGTCTGCAGTTGAAATAATTCCAGTACCCCACTTAGACGAGCCGCTATGACTTTGGCATTTACTGTTTTTATGTTCGTTATGCCCGAGTCTGTTCCATCCTCAAATATACACTGAAAAAAGTGGTTATTATGTTTTGAAAGTGGTATCAACACATCATTATTTATATATTTAAGAACTGAGATCTGGTTTTTATTTATTACTGCTTTCGTTCGCAACGCCTATATACAGGGTGTTCCGAAATTAATGCAACAAAATTTGGTCATAGATTCTTAAGACAAATTTAGGGGACCCGTATTTTTTCTTTTTGCCAACTGGCCCCCTCTTTTGGAGTTATAGCCCCCTGAAATTTACCCCTAAGAATAGTTTTTTTTATATCTCAGAACTCTGTTGTACCAGAATCACTAAATTTGGCACATAGGGGTTTTATGACATGTGGAATCTGATGGTGCTAAGTTTTTTGGCTGGGAACCCCCTTAAGACAACTTTTCGTGGGCCCGCTTGTCTTTGGAACTAAAAAAATTTAGTCGCAAAGAATTCCTGAAAAATTATTAGTTAGCTAGAAATTAGAAATTTTTTTGTCTCTTGATATTTTTTTCGTAAAACGCAATGGTTTTGAAGAAAATGACGAATCATGATATGCGTTCGATCACATTTTGACATTTTCCTCGAAATCAATGTGTTTTACGAAAAAAGTATCAAGAGACAAAAAATATTCTAAATTTAATGGCTTTCTAGCGGACTAATAATTTTTAACAAAGGACCCCGCACTTTTCTTATGGGAAGTGGCTTTCGGCCAATTTTTTTGAAACTTCGCAGGTTGGCAATTCTTAACATGTAGATCAAAAGTCTCAATGGGCACAAAGCCCTAAATCCACCCCATCCCTCCCAAAAACTGCCTCCAAGTAGGGGGGGGGATTTAACTGATTTCTGCATGTAAAACTATTTTTTTAATCAACCCAACAACGACCCCAAACAATCACATTTTTGAATATCAAACTACCCCACTTGACCCCGCCTCCCACGAATCAGCCTACAGATTTTCCAGATTACTGTATTTCATAGTTGCACGTATTTTTTACATGTATATTTTTTGCACGTATTTTTTCACGCTGAATTCGAATCTGCAACTCAATTTTACAAAATCGGGTCAGGAAAATTGTTATTAACAGTTTAATTGTTTATATAGCTGTAGAAAGTTTATTTGTCATTTTATGAAAAAATATTTCGAGTAATTTTTTTATTTTGAAAAAATCTAAAAAAAAGTTGTTTTTTTTTTTTGAAAAAATAATATTCAAGCTGTAAAACGTAGTTAAGCTTAACACATGTGTATATCTATAGCTATCATACTCTGTGTTAAACTTTGGTGGCGTTTTAAAGCTAAAACATTGATTTTCGAAAAAAAAACAAGTTTTTTTAGATTTCATTGAAATTATTTCAAACTTTTTCTCATAAAACGACAAGTAAACTCCCCACTACTTGGAGTCAGTTTTTTGGGGGGAAGGGGTTTATTTGGGGCTTTGTGTCCATTGAGACTTTTGATCTACATGTTAAGAACTATCAATCGGCAAAGTTTAAAAAAAATTGACTGAAAGCCACTTCCCATAAGAAAAGTGTGGGGTCCTTTAAACATGCGACCAAATTTTTATGGTTCCATAGTCAAGGGGGCCCATGAAAAATTGTCGTAAGGCAATTCCTCGCCAAAAAGCATAGCACCATCAGATTCCACGTCATAAAATGGCTGTATAACAAATTTAGTGACTCCCGTACAACAGCGTTCTGAGAATAAAAAAAGATTATCCTTAGAAGCAGATTTCAAGGGGTTGTAACTCGAAAAGAGGGATCACTTGGCAAAAATAAAAAATGCGGGTTTCCTAAATTTGTCTCAAGAATCTGACTAAATTTTGTTGCATGAATTTCGGGACACCCTGTATAACGTTTTGTTTGCATATGAGCATAATATAATTACTCACTCCCGCGAACTGATAATTTTTGTATATTGGCATTGAACGTGTTAAAAAAAAGGTATAGTGTGTGTAACACTTGGAAGACTTAACATCACATCGTTTTTGTCACTTTAACGTGGTAGATTGTTTATGTTATGAGGAAATTTTCTAAAAACTGGAAACGAAAAGAATAATTTCAAACATTTCAAATTTTCGGTGTAATCAATCAATATCTACTTTTTAATTCAGTCAACATAAATAAATAATATTAGAATTTGGCCAATAATGTAATTTTTTTTTTCATATTTATAAAATTTCCTGACAATTTTACAGCTCTTCCGAGTTGTCCTGATATGGGAAGCGGCCATCAATACCATTTAGATAGAAATTAAAGAACAGAGGCCACAAATGAGGACCTTAGGGCACACCTAACACCGCAGGAATTCAGGAATTTTTTTGGATACAACACTTTTTAATCTTGTTTTCAAAACAAAATCCAACTACTTATGGAAATTACCCTTCTAAGCTGCAGTATATAGGGTGATCTCCTTCAACGAAAACATTTTGACACCACAGGAAATATTTATTAAACATGGCAAAAGCATTACGAAACATTTTTGAGAAAGACTTACCTTCAGCTTTCCCGTTGTGCCCTCCCAGAATTCCAACCGCCCGTCCGCACAGCCTATTACGATCAAATTGTCCACGTAGTCCATACACCAGACGGGCGAGAATCCCGTTGCATTAAAATTACTCCCACTGCTGGAATCGCGGTGAAAATTCACTTTGCCGTTACTAACACTGTCCCTCTTGGAGGTAATCTCACTATTAGTCTCACTGGGTGCACAGCTGACGCTTTGTCTTTTTAGTGTCTTTTCACTGTGTTTTAGTTTCACGTCGTAATCGTGATTAAAATAGTAATGCCGGAATGACTTGTTGAAGTTATACTTCGAGTCCGAAGGTGTCGTTGGGCTCACTTCCTTAATATGAGAGAAATCCGTGTTGATTTTGTTCAGCAATCGGGGGAAGGTCTCGTCTCGAGACGGGGGAGAGCCAGATTCGTAATCGGAGAGGTTGTCGTCCAGTTCCAAACAGCTGTCGTGTACTTTGCTGTCTTCGAAGGACGACTTTCGGTTGACTTGTGTCAATAGCTCTCCCGTATTGTTGTCCCAAACTTTTAACTGGCCACCTGCAAGGGAAAAAGTAAAAGTTTAATTCACATTCTCGACTTAAAAAGTAAAATTACCTAAACAGGCGCTGACTATGTTGGTTCCGTCAGTGGCGATACACTCTATCTCCTGCTGGTGGCCTTCCAGAACCACCGGTAGCGCTTCCAAGAGGACCTGGTCATCTCCGGATTCATCCGATTTCTCCGCAAACCAAGACGCTCGCCATTCGGCGTAATTCCGAGAACAAATGCAACGGTAGAGTACGACAACGGTGTAGGCTAACACGAGAGCGCTGATGAAGCAGAGGATGGTTGTTAGGAGAATTTCCATGGGGGAAGTGGGGTAGAAGGGTTGTTCGGCCTGTGGTATGGTGTTACCCGCCGATTCCGCATCTTGAAATAAAACAAAAGCATCAAATTGTACCAATAACAAAAATACAAAATAAAATATTAACCACTTATTTTAAACAAAAAATGTAAGTTACTAAACAGCCACATAATTGTCCGAAAAGGAACAATTATGATGACGTTTTTTTTTTTAAACGCCCAATCGGTTCATAGGAAGTCATAAATTCGAATATTGCGGATGTATCGTGTATTTTATATTGTAGTTTGTTTGAATTTTAAAGGTTACGGTTGGTTTATCAAAAAAAATTCACATTAGATTTTACTTACATTTCTAAACAACAGCCAATTAAATGTCTCACACTTTAGCAACCAAACATCATTTAGTTATATAGCACCTTAAATGTCATTGCATTCAATGTCTACTAGCACAAAACATTACTTTGCAGCTACTGGCAAAAAGAGACCTACTAATCGGCCACTATGAAGGCATAACCTGTTTTGCAGTAGGCCCAATAAACTTTTTGCTAATGATATTGTGGGATTACAGATCTCTACGAGTAGGTACAAAGTAATGCTCTGTCAGTAGGCAGTGAGTAATAATGACATGTAAGATGTGACATTTACTTTGCAGGTTATATCTCACCTATACCCAAAACATGTCACTAGATATAATATATCCAAATAGCTAAATTCTTCAATAGTTGGCATGCTGATGAAAACTGATAAATGATCTTAGTAGGTGGTGTAATTCTGTGCTGGAGGGGGCACATCATCATGGTTACCTGGTAGTCAAATATCATTTGATAAACCAGCCATTACTGGATGTGTTTGTTTTAGAGCTGAATATGATATGCCAAGATAAAAATGTAAATAGCTGAAATGATTTGTTCTTTGTTTATAAAGTTTTGCATTACAAGTTTGGTCATATAAAGTTAAATTACTTTTAGGAGATAAAAGAATCCTCACAAGTGGTCACGTTTATTTTGTAAAACAATTAGGGCCACTTTGATACTACTATTATATTTGTTTACAGTTTTATCAGTCTTTTATCATTGCTTCGGAAGAGTTAATTTATAGCAGTCCGTTACTTGCTTTAAAAGTGCTTTAAATTTTATATCAAGAATTCAGTCACAATAATTTTTATTTGCTTTTATATTATATCCAAATTTGGGCAGTTAAAAGGTTTGTTTCCTTTGGATTAGTCATGTTTTAACTCAGCATTAATTTCTAATTAGTATTGTCTGAAGTTACTTATTTGGTATAGTTTTTGTATTGTTTATCCGTTAGGTACTTTGCCATCTATAAAGAAAATTTTAAAAATCGATAAAATAACTGCTTGCGCCAAAAGGGTCCCTCGAGGATTATTTTTATGAAAATAGGTACTTTTGCCTAATTATAAATCTCACATTGAAAAAAGTAGACAAATACAAAATACAAATCACTATATATCTGTACAAAACAGATTGACTTTTGAAACTGCAACTTTTTGAAGTATAGTGATGTATATTTTGTATTTGGCGTTTTTTCCAGAGTGACATTTTTGGTTAGGAAAATCTATTTTCATAAAAAAACAACCCTTCCTTGATCCTTTGATATGAGGGTTTACGTCCGACCATCCAATAGTTAATTAATAATTAACATTATAAAAAACAGGTTATCTTGGGAACAAAGAAGCGTAGGTGATTTCTACCTTTTTTTAAATTACCGTAAAAATAAGCTCTATTTAATGCAAAAAGAGCGAATTCCCGAGCGCCTATTGTCTGACCCTGGGATAATTTGTTTGTGCATGTTGTACTTTGTTATAGTCCAGTTGGTATCTGTTACGGGATGGATGTTTTATATAGTAACGCTAATTTTTGCATAATTGTTAGCGCAAAACGTAAAAAAAAAAATCAGAGAATATTGACATTAGAGAAAATAGTCAAAGGAAAGTTTCATTTTGATGTAGTTCGAAATTTTTATGTGCATTATTGTTGCTGCAATACAGTATAGACCGAAAAAAAATTCGTGAAAAAAGATCGTTTCTTCATGAATTTATTTCGGACCTTGACTTTAGAGCAGCCATATAAAAAGTATGGTTCTGAAAACCAATGACTATTTTGAGCTCCCAATTTTTATACATACCCTTTGGAGTCTCAACCATCAATCCCCATTTAAAAATTTTGGATTTTATCCATTTTAGCAACAATTAGAATTTTTTCACAATTTTTTCGAAAAAAACAAAAACATTTAGAGAAAAAGTGAAAAAACACTTATTTGCAATTTGCCAACTTAACGCCATTTCTTTCAAGTTACTTCTTTGGTATATATAAAATGTCTAATAATAATTTTTTCAAATTTTCAGGTTTTATGATCTAATTCGACTGGAGTATAAACATTTCTCTATGAAACTGACTTAAAGTTGATATAATATCACCCCCTCCGTTCCCGCGAACTAAGAACTACTTACATTTCTTCTTCTTCTTCTTTATCAAACTAACAAGCAAATGAAACAATTGAAATATTTACCTCTGAAATCTATAGGGTCCAGAGCTGCCGCCAAGGCATGCCATTGGAATTTTTCCCCGTACTTTTCTTCTGGATTCCTCAACAAGACTGCCTGATCGGGTCTAACTACGTGCGACAATTTAATATTAGGTAGTATAGCAATAGTCTGACCACTGAGTGACATGTTGTACTTTTTCAGGATCGCCGGCCAGTGCCTCGAAGACAGCTTCAACCAAGGTGCGTATTCGCAGTGTTTCAATTTATCGATGTCCTGCGACTGGTCTTGTTGGTACTTTATATCTATCGGGTTGTACGTCACATAGTTGACTTGAATGGAATTAGAGGTATTGAGCAGCGGGAACAATTTTATAGACGAGTAGTTTTCCATATTGCTGCTCGATTGGTTGTGGTGTTTGTCTTCCAGTACTACATTTAAGATGTAGTGGTTGATGATATCGCTGTTGTACACTATCACGCTTATCCAGATCACCATCAGTATCATAAACGATCTCTGGAAAAACCTCGTGCGAGCCCATATATTGAACAATCTCACTCTTTTCGGTATCTTCTTTTCCTGTGCGCCTTGCGCTTGCCCTGCTACGATATTAGCGGGAAACGAGGATAACCTCGGATGCGACTTGGACCTGCTCATCCCCCTGATTTTGCACTTATCGAAAACGTTCTGTGTTTGATACAACCCGTTCCGGAAGTTCTGGTTTAATTTCTCAGCGGAATTCATCATCCTGCTTATGTCCACGCCCAGGATCGTAAGAAAAAAGAACATTTGCAGGAAGAAGTCCGTTATCAAGCCCACTATGGCGAATATACAAAATTCCTGGATGGCGGGGACGAAAGTGAATAAACCGAAAGTAAAAACGGTGATCTCCAATAGGAGGTTTTTGGTGATGGACCATCCCTCCTTACTTAGTCCTTTCGCATTCCTTATTTTCACATCTAAGTGAAGCGGTGTGGAGACGACGCTTTTGGTGAGTACCAAAACGTTTTCCAGGCCTACCAGTATCGCTAAGTAGGGGAAAATACCCTTGCCCTCTTCAAAATTGAGGGTGAGGCCGAAGAAGAAGCAGATACCCATCGTCATGGTCAGACTACAGAAAACGGTGAACGTGGCGGTGAACGCCATGCCTAGTTTGGACTTGATGAGCTCGATTTTTCGTACGGAGAAGTAGTAGTACAGAAAAAGCAAAATAAAAGAAACGCATATTGGCACGAGTTCTAAATAATTGATCTCTCCTGGATATTTAATCATAACTGTGTCAGCTGAACTAGGCGGCGATTTGGTGCTGTTCTGGTGTAACGGATAGAGCGTAGTCAGTTTCTCGTGTAGTCCCACAATAAATCTGTAAAAAATAGTAAATTATTTACAATTAAACTACTTTTGTTTAACACTCACTCTTGATCGTACTCTTTAAAAAATAAAGTAACGGCATACTGTATTATCCTCTGTCTGTTCCTTATAGGATAACGCTTAATGCCGGTGTCGAAAAGATGCATCCCAAACAACATTTCTGCTATTGAGGTTTTACTTTTTTGAAAACTCTGAAAGTTACTCGATTATTTATGAATTATATAAGTTATAAAACAGCCTTACATGATGGTTAAAAATCGTGGTAAGTATCGAGTTGTCCTGCGAGAACCGTTGGACGTCTTGTTGCCACAAGTTCGCTGGAGATAATACCAGACAACTGTACTGTGGAAGGACATTCTGACGATCGTTCTTGTTCGATATCTTTATCGCTTCAATATGAAGACACATGTGGCCCAATGTCTTTAAACTGCAAATCGCAAAGTTGAGGTTACTTGAGTTTTTACGATTATCAAACCAACCTTTTCTTGTCCTGGTAGTTTCTTACCACCTCCAGTAGCTTGAAGGCCTCGTACAAGGGAGCCCTGAAGGCATCACCCAAAGTAAGGTCGGGCTCCCAGGGTAAGACGCCAACTCGCAGGACGACCTGCTGCACGTAACAGAAAGGCTGCAGGCCATCGCTGCCGTTTAAGTTGGTGGTGAACACTTCGGGCGCTTTACCAGGGAACGGTAAGTTTACCAGTGGCAACCTAAGATAGTTAATTATATTTTTTCATTCCACAAATTGGTTAAAATAATGAAGGAAATATCAAAGTGTTTAATGGTGACAATTACGTGTAATAAAAGATTCTGCTTTAATAGGCATTCAAAATTTGGATGCAGAACAAGAAGCTTTAGAGGCTGATTAGACTTTTTAGAACAAAAGACCAAGTCTAATGGCACCGGCACACAAAATAAAAAAGTGGTCTGTAGTTTGAAGTCCGTTTAGTTCAAACACTCCCAAAGTTTTGAGTAAATGGCAAAAAATAGTGAAAAACCGCCGAAAATCACGTTAGTACTCGTAAGTGAAAAAAGAATTCGAAAAAATTTTTTCTGACCTTGATCAGGTGTGTACGTATTTTGAAACGTAAAAAAATATCTGAAAATGGCAAAAAATCATATTAATGAGAGTGAGAAAATTTAGGAAGAGGTTTTCTAGACTGGATCAAGTGTTTTCATAAATTCTGTCGAGTCGAATTTGAATCTCAAGTCAGTTGAGCCTATAGGCCAAACAGAGGTTTTGTTTGTGACAAAAATACTAGATTGTGCAGTCATCTAAAAGACAGTCTGTAGATATATGCTTATATTTCCTACTCCAATTTACCATTAATTAATTTTTTATAAACATTTTTATGCAAAAACGCATTTTTTTAGTGTTTTGCTTATAAAACCTAAACTAACGAAGCAATCTGACTGCTATAAACAAACAATTTGTAGAGAATCGAAATACGAATAAAACGAGAGGTCGATCTATTCGATAGGATAATTAGAAACGTAGAAAACCCGGAAAAATTTAGGGGAATTTAAATTTTTTGGTGCAGTATTTTGCAAAGCTTCTGGATGCGTTGGAGGTGGTCCGATTTTAATTTTTCAGTCGGATTTTAAAAGTAGAAGTATAATACTACAAAACGTATATTCTAATTTTCCGATAAAATAATGAGAAATAGGTGAAAAATTCCTCCAAAAAATCCTAGTCAAATTAGTCACTGTTTTCATATAATTGAAATGTCATCTTGACAATTACCAAATCAAGATATCTCGCAAAATTTAATACTGGTATTACTGGATACGAAAATATGCCAAAAAATCGATATTTCAACGCTCAGAAAATATATACAACAGTTAGTACGCAGACGCGATCAAAACAACTGTCAAATTTGTAATCTGAGTGTCAGTTTTGTTTCCTGTTTTGAATGTTTTGTTTTAAATGCACTATAAGTGCTATATAAGCTTTGTTCGTAAACCTTCCACTGCTGCACTAGTGTAGTAATACGTTGTTCGTTTATTGCAGTGTAGCCAAGTGCAGGTATAATCCAGGTGTTCGAAAAGTCCAGTGTAGTGTAGTAGTACAGACACTACTACACTGGCTATCAAGGTGGTGTAAAAGTGTAGTGTAGTATATTTGTGGCGCGAAAATGAAACTTTTATTACAAATGTCACATCTTGGTAGATATTTTAGATAGATCATTAAAAATTTGGCAATATTTGATTTTACTCTGAAATGGCTGATAAATTCGTCTTCCTCACAGTTTCGAACAAGTTCTATAAAATTTGTAATGCACTTTCTTTTATTTTTTTGGAAACAGGTCTCCAATAAAACATGAATTTTTCTTTTTTTACGAAGGTAATCTTCATGATCTGATTCCGATTCGCTTCCAGAGTCACTAAATAATTCACTCATCACAAATATTTTCTCCATTATTTACAATTAGGTTATGCCAGCTTAAGTTTACCCAAATTGAATTAACGAACAGCCAAATGTTTTCTCTAAAAGTGGTGCACAATTATTATTTTAGTGTAAGACTGAATTCCACTACACTACATTACACTACACGTTGTGTAGGTTTACGAACAAAGCTATAATCAAACTACAGTCTAAAATTAATACACAACAAACGTCCTCCATTTTCTTTCACTCTAATACACATAAAAAATTGGAACGGTTGTGTGTACTAGATTGAGACTATGAAGACATTTATACCATCATTGTATCTCTTTTTAGCGCGTTTAATAATGAATTCACGTCCGCAACGTATGTCTTGATATTAGGACACACTCGTGACGTAATGGCAATCTTAAAACGGTTCTAGTGTATACATACGAGCCCTAACAACTAAATGTTGGGACAAGTTAATATTTCGGAAATAATACAATGGCTTATCAAAACGACCGAATTATTTTGTTTATACTTTCAAATATAAACATAACAATATATCCTAGACTATTTGAAAATGTTTCTATGCGTTCGTAAAGCAATCGATGTTAACAGAGGAGTACTTTGTCACCTAAGGGTCAAATTTGCCGAGTATTCGTTAACATACTTAAATTTCATTAATTTAATTAAAATAATGGGTCGTGGAAAGCCTACGAACCAGAAATTACGCGAAATTATTATTCAGTAATACCATACGGGTAAGTAAAACAATGCGTAAAATTGCTAGTGATTTAACTATTTCAACTGGGACAATTTTTCTGTTGAAACGTGTCAATCTTTGTTTAATACAATGGCTGCAAGAGTCCAAGCAGTTGTTAAAGCTAAGGGTGATGTGAACCCTTATTAAATTTAGCTTTATTCTCGAATTGTCCCATCATTTAGTTGTCAGCAAATTTCACCCTTAAATGACAAAGTGACAAAGTACTCCACTGTTAATATCGATTGCTTTACCAACGCATAGAAACATTTTCAAATAGATTAAGATATATTGTTATGTTTGTAATTAAAAGTGAAAACAAAATAATTTGGTCGTTTTGATAAGCCATTGTATTATTTCCGAAATATTAGCTTGTCCCAACATTTAGTTGTTAGGGCTCGTATATCCAGAATCCAGAGAAAAGAATTCGTTATAGCTGTTTTACATTGAGAATTTATTCATCAATAAATTGACGAAGTTCTTCATGAATTAATTCACGAATTTATTGGTAAACAGTGTGGTTTTACACTGCTACGGACTTTGTCAAGTTTTTTTGACATATGAATCAGTTCTACCAATGAATCAAAGAAGCAAATAAATTTCAAAAATGTCACCTTTCTACTCATAATTGTAGTGATACAACAGCGGTACCGTTTTGACACATATTATATAAATATTAGTTTTTGTAAATAACAAATCAGTAAAAACAATGCAAAACTAGCACGACGCCACACAATTATTTACATATTCCAATAACATAACCTCATTACTGATCTGAGGCTGGAAATCTGTCGGGTTGGTACTTCCGAACTTCACGAAAAAATTGACGAAAATTAGAACATGCTCTAATTCGTCAAGAACTTGATGAAGTTATTTGACAGCTCATTTGGTGTATTACACTTGTCCAATTTCTTGATGAAGCGACTTCATCAATTAATTGATCAATAAATTGACAATGTAAAACAGCTTTTATAAGAGAAGACAAGTGTAAGAGCAACATCAAAGGAAGCCTGGTTCGAGTCAGTCGAATTTATTTGGAAGTAATCCATATCCATGACATTTATTCAAGATTTTTTGGGATTCACGATTTCCATATTTTTTTTTACGATATTTTGCGACTTTTGCAAACTTTTTGGGTAATGAGGCTCAACAGACTTTAGATTCAAATTCGACTCGACAAAATTTACGAGAAGAATACTTGATCCAATCTAAAAAACCGCTTTCTAATTTTTTTTCACTTTCATTAATAGGTACGATTTTTTGTATTTTTCAACTATTTTTTTGCGTTTTTTTTGCGTTTTTTTGCAAAACCATGGGAATATATAGCTAATAGGCTTCAGACTTGAAATCAGCGTGTCAAAATAGACAAGAAACACACATGATCAAGGTCAGAAAATTTTTTTTCAAATTGTCTTGAGCTCACTAACGTGATTTTTGGCGGTTTTTCGCTATTATTATTTTGCGATTTTTGCAATATCTGAGAGGGGTGCAACTTAAAAGATTTCAGATTTGGAATCAGCACATCAAAATTGAAAAGAAATCCACTTGATCAAGTTCAGAACAAATTTTTTCGGATTATTTCACTATTTTTTGCCATTAATTAAAAATTTTGGGTGTGTTTACGCTAAACGGACTTCATATTCGGATACAACACGTCAAAATACATAAAGCCACTAAAGTATTTAGCACCCACAAAAACTTACCCGTACCTACCAAATTTCGATGCATTCTATGGTTTTTTGAAAAGTATATGACTAAAACTTACCACAACGTTTTCTGGTAAAATACAATTAAGGTAAGTTTTCACAGATAAGGAATTCGCTAAAGGATTGAATGTAAAATAACCATTTAAAAATATTCGCGACTGACATTCTTAAATTTTGAAGCGAAGAGTTTTGTTATCTTCGAACAAATCTAGAATATTTCTAGCTTCATATAATTAGTAAATTGGTTAGCTTAGAAAATTAGCAAATATTATTGTTATTATAAAATGTACATTTTGTTTGTTTCACGTCTACAAATATAAAAAAGTCTTTTTGGAAGGAAACACATTTATACGGGTCTTTAAACAACATTTAATAATAAAAAGGATTTAGTTAATTATTTGACAATGATTGTATGTGTTTGAAATTCTTTTAATACAAAATACTTGGAATTACCACTTAATTTTAGGTAAAAATCCTAAAATTTTGTCGCAAAAAGTAAATTAAATTTGATTTTCTAGCGATGTCGCGAAAGCCATCGAACAAATTTCGCATTCTGTATGACAAAATTGAGAATTTTGAGACTGAAAACTTTATCGTGATTTACTATTATTTTTACAAGAAAACACTTCATTTTAATTATTATAAAACTCACAAACAAGCGCGAATGCTAGTTAAATACTAATAATTATCTTTGAATAATTTTCAAAATAACGGGCCTATAAAGAAAAAAAGGACCTACTGATGATACAAGGGACCTACTGACATCACAACAAATGATACAAGAAGCTCAAAAATGATAACAGCGTTTTTCGCGACGTAAGCATAATCGTAAACATGTTTTCATTCTTTAATAAAACACATAGTTTTTAGTAAATTGTATTGAATTAAAAAATTACTGAGCGGGAAGTCAACAATATTTGTACATTTTTATATGGAAAGAAAATTATTCTTTTTAACGTTAAACAACTTTTTCATTTTGTTGAAACTGATCTGAACTGCAAGAATCATTTTAAAAATATACATTTTTGTATGTTTTGGCGAGAACAATCAGCACTGAATGTTTAAGTATCGCAATGTCGCTCTTAGGCCCTGAGCACTGCAATTTTTTTATGTTAAATAAGCTGATCAAATTTCATCGCTAAGTGACAATTGAACACATTTATTTTAATGGCTTTACGTCAGTAAAAAAAAATAGGAGAGCGCTTTATTTAATAATTTCATTAGCTATTGTTTATTACAAAGTATAATTATTCCACATTTTATACTTTTTACCATATTTAGCAGATGGTTTTTAACAGTTGGTACAATCTTTAATAATTTCATGCGAGAAAAAATCGATTACGACATTTCCATTATAATAAACGAAAATACTTAAAAATTAAAACCTCAACTTTTTTTTTGTAATGCTGGAAATTTACAATATTTCTATTTTTAGATGACAGTCACATTACTGATGCAAATAATATACGACTTTGATAATTAACATTAGTTTTTACTTCTTCCCTTGACCTTGATATTGGGAATGGTAACGATAATAATTACCTCTTACGTCTCAGAATTATCGAAGATAATAATAAATTCTGTATACGCAGCAAAAGCTGGTCTATTTATAATTTCATTATTTAATTAAACAATTTTTGGAAATTTAATTCTTAAAACCTCAATAGATGTTTTACCTTTCACGATATTTCTTTGAAAATACACACGTATTTTACAGAATATTCCAAGAAATGTTGATTTGTTGCTTACTAATTAAACAAATCGCACCTATTCGCTTTTAAATCAAGATACACCTGAAATAAACAAAAGCATGTGGGACACGTCACAGCCCACTAAAGATTACTCGATTAACATAAACTATAGTTGTGCTGCTTTTTCACCAAATAGGCCCTATAATATTGAAAAAATATCACTCACCAGGCCGCGGTGATCACGAGTATCGCGAAAAGCACCACGCAGACGGGGTAGGTGATGCAGAAGAGCCCTAGGGTGTAGTAGAACGTGCCGACCTTCTCCTGCAAAGTCGAAGACTTCCCTTGCGCCCCCCTCTGCCGGGGCTGCTCATCTGGGAGGACCATCTACTACGTCACGTTGACCATTTCTGAGCAGGCGAATGTTTTCCTGCAAAAAAAACACTCGTAGAAAAAATGCAGTAAGATTCAAGTATTTCATGGAAAATTATTTTTAAATCACACTAAGAGCGTGCCTAATTCAAAAGTTGTAAAACGAATTTGTAAGTGGTTAATAAAATTTATATATATTTTTTTCACTGACACAATTAGCGGGTACTTTAAAGTGATTTTTTTATCGCTTCTAAAATATTTGACACTTTTTAAGGTGTTGAGTTACCATAAAGCGGCTCTCACTTGAGTTTAAACGTTTCAAAAGGGTTTTAACATCGATTTTTACAAAGGAATCGTCAATTAACCGGCATATACAATTACACGGTGTCGCTTTTATGTATTTAATCAAGGCGATATACGTACATGTATAGTTGTTTTATTTTTTCCAACTGGCTGTACGATTAAGTATATTATCCAATAAAACATATTATTAGATCAACAAAACACACACAGAACGACATTGTGTAAACAGTTTACTACCCGTTTTTCCTTTCACAAATGATATAAGTACGCGTAGGCAATTATTTCGGAATGTACCTATGCGCTATTAATAAAGTGATTTTCTTCGTTCTCATGGGAGTTTAAATAAATTGCGAATTTCCTGACGTGACTGTGTTATTTTTTCAAGACATTATCTCAATCTTGAGAAATTAGTCAAAAATGAGGGAAAATACAGGCAAATTGCCGGAAACAAAAAAATCGATTAATAATTTTGTATAACCATTGTTTTTTTTTAAATATAGTATAGCCTAGTCCAGATCTACAATAGTTATGCACGCGTCAAGATCAGAAACTGACACCTACTTTTACTTTTTGTACTGCCACCAATAAATTGACATTCCATGAGAATAGTCTTTTAGTGTGTCGTCACATATTTAGGAAATTTGGAAGTTTGTCTGCTCCCTTAATTCTTTTGCCGAGTTTATTTAAAAAAATAAACATAATTATATTCACGATTGATAAATAGTACAAATTTGTTAAAAATGTAGTTTTAGTTTTTTTAAAACGGTTTTTACTCGTGTTGTATTTTAGCGGAAAAAGTACGTAAGTCTGGACTAGCAGACTGATTACCTGGCCCCTCAAGGCCCACCCCAAGGAAAAATCCTACGCCCATGGGCTTGATGTTATAGAAAATATATTTTAGAAATAGTCACTAGAGCAATTTAATCTCCGTTTCTAGTATGTAACACTCATTATCTAAATATTGTCACTCAAACCTTTTGTGAAAAAAAATATACATGGTGTTCTGAAAAACACTAGCATAAATAATTCAGTGCCTGAAAGAATTTCAAAAAATATTACAATTTGTTCCTATGAACCAAATAATTTTTTAAAATCTAGTTTCGGCCTTATCTTCCAGAAAATTTGTTGATGTTTTGAACCATCTAAAAGACGATTTAGGCAGGCTATTGACTGTCAGAAAAGAGAGGGTACAAAGGAACTAAAACGTAACAGAAATTTTATTGTTTGATATGTTCAATTGACCTTAAAAAATGATAAAACCGCGGAGTGCTACCTTTTAAAGGGGTGGGTTTTTGAGTTTTACCCGAAAACTGAATTTTTTCTAAATAGTTGTCAACAGAAAAGTTGTAGCAAAATGAATTTCCAATCGAAATGAGACTTTTTAAAGTCAAAAAAATTTATTTTTAACAAAAATATGCCTAAAAAACGAGTAAAAAAACCCGAAAAAAATGCGTTTTTTTTTCTTTTTGGTTTTTGGCCCACAACTTTTTTCTGAGTGGTGTTAGGTATAGGCATTGCTTCACAGAAAAAAAGTTAATGTTTTTTTCCTTTAAAATAAGCCTAGAGAAGTACCTACGACTAATAGAAACCGAGATACATTGGATCAAAGTTGGCTACTTTTTGGATTTTTGGCCAATTTTTGCCCTTTTTTGACGATTTTCGTCTTACAACTTTTTTCTGAGTTAATTTAGGTATATGTAATACCATATTCAAATGAAAGCTGGTTTCAAATGGTGCCTGGTAGAAGTTTGTACAATTAAAATCAACCGAGATATGTCAATTTAACCAACGATACTTTATTCTTTTTATAAAATTTTTATTACTTTCGGTATTATTTTATCTAATAAATTTATTTTTGTGAATGTGAAAGTTAAAATAAGTTTCTAGGTGATTGAATATAATTATTTATTTATTTAAACAATAATTAATCATATTTATCTTGTAAAATTTCGAATTCTTTTAATTATTTTTGTACTTTTAATTAAAAAATTACAATTACAAAAAAATTTTTCAATTTTGTAAATAAGAATTTTTCAAAATTAAAAAATTACCTCGATGTATTTTTACTTGAAAATGCTAGTGTTGAGGATATCACTGCTGCATCTGAATGCATTGTAACTATAATGTATAGTTAAAAAATTGACAGCCTAAAAACTTGTCGATATAAATTATTTCAAAAGTATTCAACAAGTGCAAAATTTACCTTATCTCGATTGCCTTCAACAACTGATGCTCTCAAACATCATGGGTTCAGAGTATATTTTCAGATGCAACAGTGGAATGGTTGTACTTTAAATCCCCTTGATTGGGGTTGGAAAAATTCCATAAATGGGCTAGTTCCCATTTTTAATAATAAATCTCCTGCACCTGAAAATTTACTTGAAAAAATAGCCTGTAAATGTATTAATAAATGGTGAGAATGCTTATGAGCCTGATTTTTCTGAAGAGGACATTGATGAAAATGATGACGACGAAATTGATATTAATATTGAAAATATACTAAATGAAACTGAAAATTTATAAGATATATATGATTAACTGTTGTTTAAATAAATAAATAATAATATCCAATCACCTAGAAACTTATTTTAACTTTCACATTCACAAAAATAAATTTATTAGACAAAATAATACCGAAAGTAATAAAAAATTTATAAAAATAAGAAAAAGTATCGTTGGTTAAATTGACATATCTCGGTTGATTTTAATTGTATAAACTTCTACCAGGCACCATTTTAAAGGTATTGAAACCAGCTTTCATTTGAATATGGCATTACATATACCTAAATTAACTCAGAAAAAAGTTATAAGACGAAAATCGTCAAAAAAGGGCAAAAATTGGCCAAAAATCCAAAAAGTAGCCAACTTTGATCCAATGTATCTCGGTTTCTATTAGTCGTAGGTACTTCTATAAAGGCTTATTTTAAAGGAAAAAACATTAACTTTTTTTTCTGTGAAGCAATGCCTATACCTAACTCCTCTCAGAAAAAAGTTGTGGGCCAAAAACCAAAAAGAAAAAAAAACGCATTTTTTCGTTTTTTTTACTCGTTTTTTGGGCATATTTTTGTTAAAAATAATTTTTTTTTGACTTCAAAATGTCTCATTTCGATTGGAAATTCAATTTGCTACAACTTTTCTGTTGACAACTATTTAGAAAAAATTCATAGTTTTCGAGTAAAACTCAAAAAACTGGAAATACCACCTTTCTACTTCGTTCTAAAAAACGCACCCCTTTAAAAGGTAGCACTCCGCGGTTTTATCATTTTCTAGGGTCAATTGAACATTTCAATAAATAAAATTTCTGTTACGTTCTGTAATTCAGAACTTTTGAAAAATACATTGTTTTCATTACAAAAAATAATTCGTTTTTGTATTGGAGGACATTCCGAATACCTATTCTGATTTTATTTTCCTTAAATTTTAATTTACTGTTAGTAATAACTTGTTATTCTTGTTGTTTTTCTTTTTTCAATTGTATTTAGTATATTAAATTTTTTAGAAATAAACTAACTATTACTTTTTATCATTAAAGAATAACTTTGATTTTGAGTTCTATTAATGAAACTAATAGTAATAGTAACTAGGTGCCAAAGCCTACTTGAAATAAAAAAGAACAATTTGAGATATTAGCTGCTCGACTTTGGTGCACTATGCCTGGTTTTTCTCGAAAACGGGCAAATTTTAGCACTTCTTATAAGAGCACCTTTTTTGTTTAGAATAAAATTCGCCATAACACCAAGTGACAAATGGGGCAAAAAGATTAACCTCAAAAAAGTTAGGAACTAAAATGTTTCCGCGGAGTACTGCACTGAACACCCTGTATGATATAGTCAAAAATTAATAACTCCAGAGCATTAAGCATCCCCAGAAATCCCACATAACAAAATTTCAGTTCATTCGGTCGAATTTTGTGGAAGATAGGACCGCAACAAGATTCTAAAAAAATATTTTCAACACCCTCTATCTTGAAAACGGAAAAAGATACGCCCATGGTTCATAGGAACAAATTGTAATGTTTTTTTGAAATTCTTTCAGGCCCTGATTTATGCTAGTGTTCTTCAGAAGACCCTGTATGTACATCTTGACATGACGTCAATTCTGAAGAAAAAACGAACAAATTCTTAAATTGATCGTTATCGTATTGGAAATTATCATGTAGAAGTGAGCATCGTTAGGGTATCCTTGAAGATAATACACGTAAGAAATTAAAATAAATGCAGGATACTTGTTTTCCTTTTGCTGATGTCCACTGACAAACGGTAAAACTCTTCATTTCTTTTCATAATACCAAATATAGGCTGAAATCAACTGTATACGGTTGCTGCTTTACCTTGGCAAACTTCGTAATTTATTAGTTTAATCGTTTACATGTATAAACCCGATTGCGTTATCAAAATTGCTATAATAAAGAGAACACTGAACCAGGTAAACAATATAAAAATCAGTTCGGCATTGATTCTAAATGAAAAATGCCCGTAGGCACGAGCTGGTACTAATTTAGCTTGATGAAACATCTAATAAATTTGGCACATAACATAAGTAGCAACTATCGTTTTGTGTGACACACATCTGCCTTTGTATAGGTACACACATAAAATTTTAAGGCGGCAATAAATAATGTTATTTCCGCTTGATAAAATGGTTTAACGGTTACAATTTTTTAAAACTTAATTTAGAAACTGGAAACCAATCAATGATGGTTTTGAACATAGTGGGTTGGGGCATCAGTAGTGTCTGTCTTTTTCAAATTTAAAA